CATACTATCAAACTGCTACCTAATACTGATAATGCTAACCCAAATTGAATTACTTCCAATGGAAATTAAACAAATGTTGGTCCAAAATGTGATTTCCCTATATAAACTATAGTAAAGTTTACCCCCTCCCCAGGGGGAAATGTGAGACCCCAGGGTCAAGAAATTCACAATTTTGGTAAAGCACCTTAAGACCCTTCCATCTATGAAGAGTATTTGATTCTACCATATCTGGGTCTTGAGAAGAAGATTTTTGAAATTTCAGTTAATTCAACCCTTTCTGGCGCCACCCATCAGCCCCCGGGGGTCAGTCAGGACTGATTTGTGCATATCATGAAACTGCTATCAAATACTGATAATGCTAATCAAGTTTGAATTAATTCCAATGGAAGTTAAACAAATGCTGGTCCAAAATGATATTTCTCTATATAAACTATAGTAAAGTTTACCCCCTCCCCGGGGGAAACGTGACACCCAGGGTCATGGAATTCACAGGTTTGGTAAAGCACCTTAAGACCCATCCATCTATGAAGAGTATTTGATTCTACCATATCTGGATCTTCGAGAAGAAGATTTCTGAAATTTTAGTCAATTTGACCCTTTTTGGCCCGCTTCTCAGGTCCCTGGGGGCTGGGAACCATATAATTCACAATTTTTGTTGACCTTTGGCCATGGAAGGTTTCTGCAAAATTTCATTGAAATTGGTTCGGGGTTTTGGAGAAGAAGTCGAAAATGTAAATTGTTTACGGACGCACGACGGACGTCGCACGACGCCAGAAAAAAAGGCGATCGCAATAGGTCACTTGAGACTTTGTCTCAGGTGACCTAAAAATACCTATACCATCACTAAGAATGGCATTTTTTTTACCAAATATTCATCTAAACCACTAAAACGTGTCTGATTACTATGAACACCTTAGTTTAGACTTTATATCCATATATAGCTGTAAAAAATTATCAGGTCCCTGTGTATGGGATCACACATTCTGCCCTAACACAGTACAATATATGAGGACAGTCGTACTTATTAAAAATGCATGCAGTTTGGTTAATTAAAAACGACCACGCACTCTATATTTCACAGACACGTGATACAGCTTGTAAATTGATTTTTGCTAGCCGTTTCTCAACCAACGGCTTCATGTCCTCGAGTTACGTTTTTAATCCATATTGTGGTTCAAATATCATACGTATTGATCTCAATGGCATACTGATGCATTTCCATTATATTACTATATATTGAGGCTTGTTATCCATTTGCTACCACGGTGAACTACGTTTAACCTTTGATTTCCACATATACATACAGTAATTTGAGCACTTGGCGTTACCATATGTGTGACCTGTTAAATGCACTGTCATCAGTGTTAAAATTAGTAACTGTTCAGCACTTTGTCACGATACAGAAATTTGATATATAGTTTCCTATGTTCATATTCATATAAGCTGAACGCTCACGGTTCGAAATCTTGTCTGTTCATATGGCTGTTACGAGGATTTTCCGGATAGCTTTTGTTTGTCTGTTTTGGGTTTCACGTTCTCAGGAAATATGACTAAAAAAGATTTTTTCCGGTAGGGACTCGTTTTTATTCCTTTTTCAATTTTGAGAAAGCCCGGTCGCGCTGTCATATAAGAATTTACAAAAATCACCAAACATACTTTTTCTGACCAATTATGTTCATTTTCAGTATATTTTCAGGCCTTTTGAAAAATTAAATATAATTCGAGTTTGGTTTTGATACTTATGATTTTCGGCGCGTTCGAATGGGACGTTTAAGTGTATTCGAGTGAGATAAAATTGTTAGGGTGGGAGGTAAATAACATGCATATTGTTTGGCCTAACAGGGCCATTCCGGAACTATTCTAAAGTGTCATATATCACTGAAATGTCATAACCTGGACACATGAGCGTGACACTCCACGTGTCACATTACACTGCACGAGCTTACCAGTCCTTATTGTCATCCATTTAAAGCTTATCGTCAAAGTAAACGTTTTGAAGACTTTGGTTTGTCTCGATCAGGGTACAGAACCCTTAACCTTCCTCGCTTGGGTGAACTTCGTCGTTTTGCCTTTTAAGGCATAAGGAACGAAAAAAGTCAATAAAAAGAAAAGGCAAAAATGATCCCAAATATTGCAATTGGTGCTGTAGATTTCTAGGTAGAATTGTCATATTGAACCTGCTGACCAGTTGATCAAGTAATCAGTTTTCTCTATCGGAGGCTCTTCAACTTACAATAAAGAACAGTTTACGGTATTAAATCTGTCTTGGGCCTGTATTCATTAATCCGTTCAGGCTAAAGTATGGAGTTAGCACTCAAAACAACGTTATTGTATCTCACTTTAATCATGTCAAATGATAACAAAAATCAAGTATAAACATTGAAAACGTTAGAACCAGAACATGAAATTAGGCTTGAACAAAAAATACATGCTTGAGCATGAGAACAGTTTCATGAATACGGGCCCTGGCATCAGTATTTACTTATCACAATCTAGAATTGTTCGTGACACGTGCTATATTTGACTTGAGACATCATGACAGAGTCACATATGGTGTAGGAAACGTTTATCGTTTTAGTTAGACCATCTCATGTTGGTGCCGAATTTACTGTAAGACTGTATAACTGTATAATTCAGTTTACAATTTCACCTCCCCAGGCTTTCCAACCTCCGCTGTCGCCGTCAGTGAGTACGAACAGAATCCAAAAGAGGTATGGGCTGTTATAGAGTTCGATGGACAATTTTCGGGCTCTTCACTGCCTACAGACATCACATACAAGCTCCGTGTGGCCACCTCGGGGGATGACCGTTGGAAAACAGATCGAACCTATCAGTTTTTTCAGCAGTTTGGACCAAGGGAACAATACAGCAATTATTCTGGAGATCCATGTAAGAATCCATCAACAGATGAGTAGCAATTTGCTTGCCAATCTTGGGCAACAGTCAGTGTTCATATCAATAAAAACTATCATCATTTTTGATGATTTCGTATATAAAAAAAAAAATGAAATTATTGAAACATATTTCATGTTTTAATGTAAACTAAACATCTATGACTTAACCATCAACCATGTACTTAAACTGATCTCTCTCCTTCAGTCTACCGGGAGAGAGGTTTTCTTTATCTTCAGTACGCCATTGATAAAGCCATCATCGACCAAAAGAGCCCGGGAAACGGCCTAGGAACCAACTATACAGTGAGTCTCCGAAAGATGCCCTACCCGCCTTACGTGGAAGATACACTTCTGGGCGTGCTACGATCAAGTCTGCCGGTTATTATCCTCTTTGCCTTTATTGTGACAGTGTTCCAGACCACCAAAAATATTGTGTACGAAAAGGAGAAAAAACTCAAGGTGAGTAACAACCAACAAGATCAGAAAGTAGAAGCTAACACCCCATACATGTAGAATTGAAATCCTGGTCGTCCCGGTCTAGTGGGACACAGTGTGTACCATGTCTGTCACAGAAACACCATGTGATAGTAAAACAGATGTCACATTGATTAGGGCCAAGCTGCTTCTACCGACCCGGCTAATTTCTCTTAAGCTCATTCGATAAAGCGTAAGACTAGTAAGACAGAGGTCTCGGGTTCGAATCCTGGCGGAGGCATTGGAAAACTGATGACCGCTGTTACACCGATGTGATCAACACAGCACCGGTGGAGCAGGGTATATGTTAATCCGGTGTCTGCATTGGTAATGTTACTGTTGACTAATGGCGTTGTAGAAAGAATATTTTATTTGAACTTGGTGATCGGAAGGGATGCATCTCATGTTTGGTAAAGGAACGTTATAGTTTGACATTTTCGTTTTATAGCAAGCGTCGTAGTTTGAACTTTGGATTTGTTATAGACTAAATTTCTTTCAATTTAGGCTTGATATTTTGCAGTTTAAACCTGTTGCTTGGGAGGCAACGATGAATGTCGAATCTTTTGTTTGGAGGAGACTGTGAAGCTGAACCTCTCTTTATCAGGAGAAGACGAAACTAGTGAGATGTTTGAATCTTTAATTTGAGAGAGACGAGGGAAGCTGATGGAATGTTTTAATCTTTTTCATTTCAGGAGACGATGAAGCTGATGGGATTGCAACCAATCCTGTATTGGTTGTCATGGTTCACAAAAGTGTTTATCTATATGCTCATCGCGTGCTTCTTCTTCACTCTGATGATGGCAATCGACACTGGGGATACCGGAAGTGTCCTGCCGAAGTCATCGCCGACCCTCATCTTCGTTTTCCTCCTCCTCTACACGCTAGCAATCATTGCGTTCTGCTTCATGATGGCGTCCATATTCAGCAAAGGTAGATATACATTTACATTCAAGACTTTACAATTAACTTCAGTAAAATCTCGTGACTAAGCCCCTCGGTTCTTTTGCCTCCTCGCTTACCGCCAATATAGTTCAGGGTCCATTTTCTCTTTTTTGAGTTCCTTTATATATTTACCCCAATTTCTCGCCAAATCCCCTTATAATGCCAAAATTTGTAGGGGAGGGATTTAAATATTTTATGACATTAATGAATCTTGTCCTATACCTGGTTTCATGTCGATGTTACATATGTATGTGTACATTTACGCAAATAACTCTACAGCCTCTTCTACTGTGAATTTCCGGTTTGTATTTTACTAACGTTGTACTCCACAGCCACTTCAACTGTGCATTTTAGGTCTGTAATTTACTAACGTTGTACTCTACAGCCACTTCCGCTGTGCATTTTCGGTCTGTATTTTACTAACGTTGTACTCCACAGCGACTTCCGCTGTACATTTTTGGTCTGTATTTTACTAACGTTGTACTCTACAGCCACTTCCGCTGTGCATTTTTGGTCTGTATTTTGCTAAAGTTGTACTCCACAGCGACTTCCACTGTGCATTTTCGGTCTGTAATTTACTAACGTTGTACTCTACAGCCACTTTCACTGTGAATTTCCGGTCTGTATTTTACTAACGTTGTACTCCACAGCTACTTCCACTGTGAATTTCCGGTCTGTAATTTACTAACGTTGTACTCTACAGCCACTTCCACTGTGAATTTCCGGTTTGTATTTTACTAACGTTGTACTCCACAGCTTCTTCCACTGTGAGTTTCCGGTCTGTAATTTACTAACGTTGTACTCTACAGCCACTTCCACTGTGAATTTCCGGTCTGTAATTTACTAACGTTGTACTACACAGCCACTTCCACTGTGAATTTCCGGTCTGTAATTTACTAACGTTGTACTCCACAGCCACTTCTACTGTGCATTTTCGGTCTGTAATTTACTAACGTTGTACTACACAGCCACTTCCACTGTGAATTTCCGGTCTGTAATTTACTAACGTTGTACTCCACAGCCACTTCTACTGTGCATTTTCGGTCTGTAATTTACTAACGTTGTACTACACAGCCACTTCCACTGTGAATTTCCGGTCTGTAATTTACTAACGTTGTACTCCACAGCCACTTCTACTGTGCATTTTCGGTCTGTAATTTACTAACGTTGTACTACACAGCCACTTCCACTGTGAATTTCCGGTCTGTAATTTACTAACGTTGTACTCCACAGCCACTTCTACTGTGCATTTTCGGTCTGTAATTTACTAACGTTGTACTCCACAGCCACTTCCACTGTGAATTTCCGGTCTGTAATGTACTAACGTTGTACTCCACAGCCACTTCCGCTGTGCATTTTCGGTCTGTAATTTACTAACTTTGTACTCCACAGCCACTTCTACTGTGAATTTTCGGTCTGTAATTTACTAACGTTGTACTCCACAGCCACTTCTACTGTGCATTTTCGGTCTGTAATTTACTAACGTTGTACTCCACAGCCACTTCCACTGTGAATTTCCGGTCTGTAATGTACTAACGTTGTACTCCACAGCCACTTCCGCTGTGCATTTTCGGTCTGTAATTTACTAACTTTGTACTCCACAGCCACTTCTACTGTGAATTTTCGGTCTGTAATTTACTAACGTTGTACTCCACAGCCACTTCCACTGTGATTTTCCGGTCTGTAATTTACTTACGTTGTACTCCACAGCCACTTCCGCTGCCTTCGCCGCCGGCGTCCTGTATTACCTGTTCTTTGTACCATCGTACTTCCTGTCCAATGATTACGACACTCTGAGTCGGAACGTGAAGCTGGCCACGTGTCTGCTCCATCCTATGGCCCTGGTATGGGGAGTCACTACTATCACCATATACGAGGGTACAGGTAAGTCTTCTAGACACTTCCTCGGGCAGTTCTGGCTATATTTTATCAGATATATAAAAACAAAACCTGTAACGTTGTTTGGATCAATACCATTTTCTGGACGGATTTTATTTATTTGTGTAATTACTGATTTGTTTCTTCTTCTAAATAAGATTCATTAGTTTGGAAATATGAAATATCAAAGTTTAATCTGACTGTGTATTGAACGTGTCGCAACGTTTCAAGACCGACTGGTTCCTTTATCAAGCTATGGTTGAGTTCTGATAGGTTTTGCACGGTAAATATTGTTTCACCTCTAGTTTTCGGAACCGGACAAAATATAAAAATATACAGCAACACCTAAAACCACTCAAAAACATGCCCGAAAGCATGTGGTGAACAAGCTTCATATTGGAAATAAATACCTTAAAGGTATATTTCCTAAAATATCGAATGTTTTGTGAACAATTTGAGAACTGAACATCTGAGGTATCACAGACACAGTAGGATATTTTATTAAACCTTGGGTCATACAACCCATCGGCAATTACATACAGTAATGCAACATGGTTTATACAAATATGTGTGTAAAACAGAAATAAAACGTTGTGCATACAAGGATACAATTCAATCGAAAGTGACACTCTACGATACACAGCCATAACATTCTAAGAATGTTGCAGTGAGACAATATATGTATATCAAATAACTTGAGCTGTACGCCTTTCTGTGGCTATCAATAAATATTTTGCTAGTTTCACGAGGTTATAGACAGAAGGTCTTCGATAATGGAATGGTTTAATAATCATCTTCTTAGTTCCGGGCGCTGAAGACATATTGAATTCATCTTCGACTTCGGATAAATAGTACAGAGTAGGAAGTCTATTACCTGTAACTGTTCTGTTGTACTTACCTTGCTTCTTCAATGCTTAGAGCATGAACCTGAATTCTATTATTACAGAGGATATTTCACTACTTTAGGGAATAGGTTTTGCATAGTAAGATTGTACTTACTATCTGAGCCTGCGCATTGCGTCTAGACATTATTCCTACCGCGATGACGCGTCAGAAAATTTAATATGTTATGATTTCATCAACAAAAATAAAATATGACATTTAAAATATTGGTTTGTGTTTTGTTTCTACATAATTTAACTGTATTGAACTATCAACGTACCGTACCCCATCATGTTGTATGATGGTCCTTCAATGGGGGACTATATTTTTTTTAACATTACGTCAATACGTAGACTTGCACAAGCTCCAGAACCTAGGACAAACTATCAGAATGGACTTCACAAGTTCCAGTAATTGAAAACGACTCACGTTGATTTAAATATAAGGTTTGAATCTTGCTTTGGTCGATTTCATGGGATGATGAATTGAGTTGGTATTGAAACAAATTCAACATGAACTGCAGTTCATTAAATTTGTTTCAAGACCAACTCAATTCATCACCCCATGAAATCGGCCAAAGCAAGTTTCAATCCTTAAATAAATTTAAAAGTCGACAACATGAACAACAATTGTACCGTCATGGTATCTAATTTTCGAAATTGCTATCGTACCGTTTGATTTTTAGTTGGACTTTTTGAACGTTTTTAAATACATCGGCAATATCTTCATCTGAGAGAGTTGTGTCGCCAAATAACATATTAAAATAATTATTTACTGTTAATTATGTATATTTGTCTAAGAACTTTATACTTTCTACACTCAAACAAATAATATTGTGCCGACTCTACTCGATACCAGCTGCAATACGGACTCCGAACACGTTTTCAATTGTTCAAGGTATTGTCATACTACACACCTGTATGATCCAGTAAGTTTATTATGAACTCTATTGATCTTCAGCCTGAAGTATGGATCAAGAAATAATTTCACTGATTACTTGCATATAACATTGCTTACTGACTACACTGTACCCCAATACAATTCTGGTAACGTGCAGCATCATATGTTTACATGTTTGATACAGTTTAATTTGCATAAGTGTGAAATTACATGACGGTGTATGCAAAGATTACCCCATCGCAACGAATGTTCGAGGCGATATAGGATTCCGCCCGTACGTACGTACCTGTGTTACATTCTTTGTCATCGCTTCAGCGACTTCATTTCTCAACGGAATTTCACGAAACTTCATACAAGTGTTTGGTATGGCAATGCCTTGAACAAGTTCGCGTTTCGGGTTTCAATGTTGTTATACGTGTAATGAGTAAGCAAGTAATTTTGAACAAAGAATCCGCTGCCGGCAACACATTAGTTACAGCCGTTTAGTTATTTAAATCACCAATTCGCTGTGGGCAGCAGTTTACTTAGGAAAATCAATAACTCATACTAATTAACCTGTTGTTGGCTGTGTTCTGAATTGTGAATGAGAAATTTGGGAATACCGGCCAGCTCAAGTTTTTGCAAAAATACATTGAAAGTTTTTAAATAAAACTCTATTACATTATATAAAAACGAGATTTGAACATGATTTAAACCTCAGATGAGCAGATCCTTAAGTGTTCAGTAGATGCATTAGACAAGTACATTGTAAGATAACCGGACCTTAATCTATTGTTAACAGGTGCCGGTGCCCAGTGGACCAACTTCAGCAGTCCCGCCACCACGGACGACAATTTCTCATTGGCCTTGGCTATGGGCATGCTCTTTCTGGACTCGGTCATCTGCTTTTTCATCGCCTTCTACCTTGATAATGTCAAACCTGGCGAGTTTGGTGTTCCCAAACCTTGGTACTTCTTGTGTACGGTAAGAAGGCAGGAATCCAAGATGTATGTTAAATGTGAGATGTATATGTCTGCATTTTATAAATTTAAGCGTAGATATTAGATAAACGACTTCTGAAAATTCGAAAGGCCTAACGTCATGCTATTTGGCCAGTAGCACCCTATAATTGACCCCGACAAAATGTGCGAATGAAAATAAACCTTGACCCACTTTAAAGTTCACAGGGGTCAAGTAAGTCTGAACCTTCGAACAACTTCTTCTGAAGATCCGATGGCCTGAAGTCATATTTGACCAGTACCATCCTATGATGAAGCCCGACAAACTTTGCGAATGAAAATGACGTTAGTCTACTTTCAAGGTCACAGGGGTCAAAAATGTCAAAACATTCAAACGACTTCTTCTGAAGGTTCGAAAGGCCTAGAGTCATGATACTTGGCCAGTAGCATCCTATAATACAGCTCGACAAAGTTTGCGAATGAAAATGACCTTGACCTGCATGTACTTTCAAGGTCACATGTGTCAAATAGGTTTAAACTTTAAACGACTTTTTCTGAAGGTCTGGAAGGCCTAGATTCATGATACTTGGCCAGTTTCGTCCTATAAAGGAGCATAACAAAGTTTGCGAATGCAAATGACCTTGACCCACTTTCAAGGTCACAGGGCTCAAATAGGTCTAAACTTTTAAACGACTTCTTCTGAAGATCTGATTGTCCTAAAATCATGATATTTGTCCAGTAGCATCCTATGATGGAATCCGATGAAGTTTGGAATGAGTTAAAACGATAAACAAATAACAACAAACAAAACCCTTCAACACGCATTCTGAATATCCGAAACGTGTCGAGCCCTGCTCCTATTCACCCACCAGCATCATGTGTTTGAGTTAAACAACATTTACACATGAATGTGCCCTTGCCCTACGTATACTTTCAAGGTCACAGGGGTCAAATATCTGTAAACCTTTAACCGCTTCTGAATATTCAATGAACGTAACTTCACACTATTTGGCCAATAACTCCATGTCACATAACAAACAGGTGAGCGATAGGCCCTCTTATTTTCATAAACAGTTTTATGATTATTATCTCCCATGTTCACACGAATTCAGGTAAAACATGTGAATGGAAATTTTATATGGTAGATTTTAATGGCTTATATATCTATATATGTTTTTGTTATTCTAGAACAATACTTTGTTTACATGTACTGTAAATCACATATGGTAATATTGCAAAATAAATAGGGCGTTATACGGGTATTTGATATCACCTATGATTGAGTTAGTGCTCAGGCACATTTCTGTCCTGTGCATAGTAATTTTGTATCAATTTCTGATTGTTCTCTTAATCGAAGTTGAGTACATTCGGATCTAATACAGTTGTTGCTGATTTTACCAGTACATGATATCGAAATCAGTCTGTTACCCTATTGGAAAAGTCTTCGGAATTGATGACGTTCATTTATATATCACACGTTCGTTATGCTTAGTGATGATACTGTTTAAGCCTATAGCATATATTAGCAAACTTATATTTGAACAAACAAGTATACATGATCTGATTAAGATGAACTAGTGCAAAACGCAAAAACTCAACAGTTCTTTATGTGCAAATATAGTTTTTGAAAATTTTGTTTTATTATGGGAAGATTCTAGGGATACGTCACAAGACGCAAACATAGTGAACTTCATGAATAAGTATGCTTACAGTAGATTTAGGCATTATTTGCGTATTACTACGTTATTATCAGGTCTTATTCATGTTTGTATACATATTATAGAAAACCTACTGGTGCGGAACAGATAAAACGCAGGATATGCTTGATGTCGCTACCGGTCACGTGAGCGAGGATAAGTTTGAAGGCGATCCTGCTGACCTCAACATTGGCATTAACATCAGTCACCTTCGAAAGGTAATACCCCGTCATTGTGGAGGTGTGTGTTAACTCATTCACCCCTGAAATTTCATAATGAACCGTACCAACCTTTGAATTGGTGGAGTTCAAATGTGTCTTCAGGGATGAATGCATTAACTAAATATTATCACAGTACACTAATACTACATTGTGCTACTTACTACTTTACAATTACAAGCGATTGGGAGGATAAGGTAAGTTGGATAGCCAATAACAGCTGGAACTTTATTCATCATATGAGAGCAATCTTTTTTGTATTCACTCCCAAGTGGATGCATGATTCCTTTACTGTTCACATTCTGGGTACTCCAGACTAGGGGTTACACTCACTTTCGCTCTCTGCAACCCTGCAAAATGTCATAGCAAAAGACATGCGGCTAGCTATTTGATTGGTCTCAGGTTAAAAAAACTGACCAATCGCTATGTCGATACCCGTCATTTGAATATTACTGAGGCGCGACATACGACTTCAAAGCCAGTCGATTTTACCGTTACATTTGTTTGACATACATTTAAGGATCCCAGTTCTTTTCTTGCCTCATCCATGAAAAGGCTTATACTAAACCTTCGATTTTGTAATGACATGTTGCAGGGGTGAAGAGAACGTAAGTTAGCGTTACACCTTGTGTATCGAAGATGCCCTGTTACATGTTATAGGCGTATGAAAGCAGGTGATATGAACGAGATGGAGTCCGACACATCACACATTATCATCTTACAAAATATAGTTATGTATTGTAAACGAAAGAACACAAAGATTGGTTTGGTATTTGTAGGTATTTGGGAGTGGCAAGAAAAGAAAGGCCGCAGTGGTGGATACTACACTGAACATGTACGAGGGTCAGATCACAGCCCTATTGGGACACAACGGGGCGGGCAAGACCACCACCATGTCCATGTTGACAGGTACGTGCAAATCGTGTGTACAGAAACTTAAATAGCACAATGTGGAGGAACATAAATGTCTAGCGTGTTTTATTGATTAGGTGTGTATGTTTTCGCAGTTGTAAGAGTATGGCTGTCGTAAAAATGTCCCTATAATGCAGTATGTATGGCAGTTGCCCGATAAATGCCAGCTTCTTAAAGGTCTCTCAAATTTAAAGCATATCCACTGTGCTGTTCTCCGCTGTATCAGTCATATCTGTAATATTAGAAATAAAAATCAATCACTCCCGACATCTATGGAATTCCATTTGAAGATGTGCTGAAAATGTTCGTACCTCAGTTCCCCAAACATGCTTTAAGATAATTCTAACACTATCATAGTGATCGTCCTACATGTACAATAATCACTACCAATACAAAATAAGGGAACACCTTTTTAACAATAAAGTCGAGTTTTACCGCTCCATTTGAATATTCGTCCATTTAGAACTCATCAGTTATGCAAAAGGTGAAAACAATGACAATCTATATCAAAAGTTTTCCAAAGCTTATGTTCAATTGTTGAAATACAAAAAATGAAAAAAAGATGCCCAAGAAACCCTTTGTAACAAAATTGATGCATTTGGCCACAACAATCAAACTTTTCTTTTCTTTATACACGTTCTCATAACATTCGGTCTTTTTCCTAAGCATGACATCAGTACAATTGTCAGTATTATAATAGCATAGAGGATAGGAGGTCCCTGTTTTATGTGAAATGTCTTATTGTGCTTACAGGATTTATACCTCCAACAAAAGGAACAGCCGTTATTAACGGCTGTGACATTCGAAAGAACATAGAGGGGGTCCGGAAGAGCCTTGGCCTTTGTCCGCAGCACAACATTTTGTTTGATAATCTGACTACAGAGGAACATCTTTGGTTCTTTGCTAAGGTAAACAATATCCTTTTCAATACTTTGTGAATGGTCTTTCCAAAAGGCAGACGTTATGTGCATTTGTCAGTTTAATGCCAGGATTATAGTACCTACAGGTATATCCATTGCTGTGTACTTGTCTGTGTTCCCAAAATTGAACTACATACCTGTCCAATAAATGACTGTACCTTTCTGTTCTAAATATGCAATTATTGACATTACTTTAATGAAAATGCCTAATATATTGCAGTTAAAAGGCTGTCCTGGAAACCTTCTGAAGCAGGAGATATCTGGAATGTTGAAGATGTTAGGGATGGAGAAAAAGGCGAATATTATGTCATCCCGATTGTCCGGTGGTCAGAAAAGGAAACTGTCATTGGGAATAGCACTGATAGCTGATTCTAAGGTGAGGCCACAGAAACCAGTATTGTATATTGTTTCTGTTAGCAACTGAAACTTTTGTCTGTTAACAACTGAAAATTAGGATATTGTTCCAAATTTCACTCGGACCTGTTGTCCATGTATAAACAAGAAATTAATTAACTTTCTGCACATACTCACTTAAAAGGTCGTCATACTGGACGAACCCACCTCAGGAATGGACCCGGCCGCGCGCAGAGAGACATGGGAAATCCTAAGGAAATACAGGGAAGGCCGGACCATTCTACTGTCAACTCACTTCATGGACGAGGCTGACATTCTAGGCGACCGAATCGCAATCATGGCCGAAGGAGTCATCAAGTGTTGTGGTACCTCACTGTTCCTTAAGAAAACTTATGGTAGGTCTGCGGGTATAGTTTCAGGAGTATATATACACCATTTATGTCAGCAACACAGAGGCAGTAATATCAAATGATAAAACATTTTTAAAAAAAAGATATTGCTATGATTGAAAAATCGCAATAGCAATGTTTTGTATTCGGGATGTTTTCATATATTTTTTAATCATACACAGATGCTTTCTGCATGTCAATGAAGTTGTAAGGTCAAAACCTTTAATGTCAGGATAAACATGATATGATGTCCATTCTGTTACCTTTCAATATCCTGAATCATATGTTTTCGTTGAACCACAGTTGTTCGTTTATGAAATATGGTCGGACCAAGTAATCTGATGCTGCTTTCAGGCGAGCCTTGCCAAAGCCTTGTCTTGACAAAGCCTTGCAAGGCCTGCATAAACATTTGCAGGTCCGCAAGGATTTATACCTGAAAATGTTACATTTAAAGACGGTCAAACGGGTTGTTCGGCATAAACGAACAGGCCCCAGGTGATTATCCTAAATTGTACTTCAGTGTTTTGAGGAAATTCCTTTGTGAGTTGGAGATCTCTCAATGAAAGTAATTTTTAAATGATTCTCTTTTGATGCGTTGTTATATAGGTGCTGGGTACCATTTGGTAGTGGTCAAGTCAAAAACCTGCGACGTGAATCGACTGACTAGCCTAGTAACCAGCCACATCCCCCGTGCCCTAGTGGAAAGTGACATCAGCGCGGAGTTATCCTACGTTCTACCGTTTGAAGATTCGCCAAAGTTTGAAAAGCTTTTTGAAGACATCGAAAAGAACGCTTCCTCTCTTGGCATCAGTAGTTTTGGAACAACTGCTACCACAATGGAGGAAGTCTTTCTTAAGTGAGTTAAGTGACATTAGTCTCCCACGCACTAAGCATTCTTATGTTATGATACGAGGTATATTAATAAAGAGGTTATACTTCTCTTTCAATTGGCTAGTGACGTCATTCGCATCAAGTTAGTAAAGCAATGTTTTTCCATCAACTTTGTAAAATGTTATTTTTCTTATTTATTCAGTTAGTTGACACCATTTTCGTGATGTTAATAAATTGACATCTTTATTATCTTTTTTTTTTAATTGACATACTTTTCTCAAACTAGGCAAAGTATCATCATTTATCTATAGGCTGATAATGAACATGAACAATATTATTACCTTGGACTTGGAGACGATATCGTATTTTGTAGTGGTATTATTTGAGATCATTCATGATATCAGTAAAAACAACATTCTTGGAGAATTTAGTTTTTGCGGTATGATAATAAAGTTTGCATTCCTAGTGTTGATATTTATTGTACATTTGACAATAATAGATTTGAAAAGAACCCCCCCCCCCCCCCCCCCCCCCCCCCCCCCCCCCCCCCCCCCCCCCCCCCCCATATAGTTTGAATTCATTCACGTAAATATTCTTTTTGTCCAGTGTTTTTTGAGAAAAACCAGTCGCTATATTGTATACTTTGGGAATTATATAAATGATCATACCATGAAAAATGGCATTTCCAGGGTGGGTGAGGATGGCAGATCGGAGGACGAAGATGAGAACGAAACAGGAAAGAATGGTCACACCAACCACAGCTGTGTGGTAGACAGACAAGCTATGGTAATGCAGCCCACCAACGGCGCCGGTCTGTCCACAAGTAAGATTGCTCACTGTGTGCCCAAGTGGGTCGGTGTTTTCTCATCATGGAATAAATGGATCTATTAAAACAAAGTTCCTCTTGTGTATTAGTAGACTCTACCATGCATTGATCTGGATAAGTCCATAATGGTCTACAGTGGTGAACGGGTTAAATAAAGAGGATATATAATATATCAAACTCTACCTCGAGGTTCTCAATCTTAAACATTTAGCTGTTTATTTTTACAATTGGATCTTCACATACGGATGATGGGAATGCATTTCTTTGTAATTTGTTTCTCATTTTTTGAATAAATGTAGGTCGGTAAGCTTGAAAGTATATTTGATGTCTACTGAGAGTGTCGCGTACGTGATAACTACATTGAAAAATAATATTGTTCTGTTGGTTGGGGAGCAACATCACTTTATATACAATGTACATTGTTTCTTCTGAGAACATATTATTACGCTTTTGGTATAATATAATATTCTTAAATATGTTTTCTTATCTCAGATATTTACGAGACGTTTAACAAGAATACCGGTTTAAAGAGAACTTTCCAACAGTTTTACGGAATGTTCGTGAAGAAAGCCATCAATACCTGGAGAAACAAGGTCGTGACCCTAGTACAACTGATACTTCCTGTTGTATTCACCGTATTGGCGTTCCTTTCCATACAGAATAGTCCAGGCCAGGGCACCACCACTGCAGAACCGGCTTTGAAACTTGACATGGCGCCTTTCAAATCAGATTCCATTGTTATGTATAAATCTGGCGATAATCTGGATCCAGAAATGGTTCAGATCAAAAACCATTTTACGAACTTGTTTTCCTCATACTCCACTGAGGATGCTAAAGATTTCAACACCTTGGAAAAGGCGTTTTTATCGAAGGCGAATAGCATTGGCATTGCCACCTTCAATCAGCGGTACATTGTGGCAGGCGACTTCCCGAATGGTAGTGCACCACTGACGGCCTATTTCAATGGGCAACCTTTCCATTCCTCGGCAGTGGCGCTATCTTATATGATGAACGCCCTATTAAGGGGGATAACCAACTCCAGCAGTGATTATATCACAACAATTAACCACCCTCTTCCGCCCACTATCTCCGATCAGAGCGACAGGGCTAACGTCACGGCTTCCGCCGGGGGATTTACTGTGGCCCTGCTCGTCTTGTTTGGGATGGCTTTCCTGTCCACAAGCTTTATTCTGTTCCCCATCAAGGAACGATCCACTGGTGCCAAGCACCTGCAGACTGTAAGTGGCGTAAGTCCCTTTGCCTACTGGCTGTCCAACTACTGCTGGGACTTGCTGAACTACTTGTTTGTTGTTTGTTGTATAGTGGTGGTATTTGCGGCGTTCCAGTCGCCAGCTTACGTAGAGGGCGGTCGAATTGGCCTGGTCATTCTGGTGTTTTGTATCTACGGGATGTGTTGCTTGCCGTTCGTTTATTTGCTGCACTTCCCGTTCTCCACACCGTCGACTGGTATGGCGACCATCACCATCCTCAATATTATCTCGGGTGAGTACATTTGCTGGTGTTTGATGCAGAATGCATGTTACACGTACAAGTAAGCCTTCTAAAATAATTGTTTGTTGTGAACATGGCTATTATTGCTGTGGTCAAGTACCGTCAAACTTGCTCGAGACACGTTACGTCACTTTGAAGTTAACACTTCCCTTTGCAGTCAATGATATCCTGAATTCAATAACTTTCTCTCTGCAATAAAACTTCAATTTTCTTCGATTCCCCAAGGTTATGTATGAATACAGGTTGGATGCTATAATTATGAAAACAAATAAGACATTGCTATCTTCTATGTGTTTTTAATAAGGTATGATTGCACTGTTGGCGGTGTTTATCCTTGAGCTACCTGACCTTGGGACCGAGGACGTGGGCAATGCCCTGCAGTGGGTGTTTACTGCTCTTGTGCCACATTTCTGTCTGGGGAGGGCTTTGAACGACATTTACGTTAACTACGAAGTCACTCAGACCTGTGAAGAGTTCCAGTATCGAACAACATGCATGTTAAACAATCTAGGGCCTTGTTGTTCAGGTAATACATATCTATCCACATATTTAAAATTTATATAAAAAAACTGTTTGTATCCGGGACGGTTTAAATGAATTTTCATTATTCCCTAAATTTTCCCTATGAAATATATTTTCATGTACTTGTAGGTTGCACAGCAAATTGTCTTTTGTTCGATGAGAGCTACATGACATGGGAATCTCCTGGAATACTCAAGTATATCGTCTTCATGGTCATCCAGGCCGTTGTTTTCTTCGTTTTCGTCTTGGTCATAGAGTATGGCGTACTTGGACAGCTCATCTACTGCATCTGCAGTAATGGCAGAGCATCTCATTCTGACGAGGAACACCTAACGGGCGTGGAAGAGGATAGCGACGTTAAAATGGAGAGGGAAAGAATCTGGAACTCGCCTCTCACCAAACTGATGGAGAGCGACGCGCTCATCGTCAAAGGTCTGTCAAAGTCGTACCGTCGGGTGAAGGCCGTTAATGGGATCAGTGTGGGTGTTGCCAGTCAGGAATGTTTTGGGCTGCTAGGACAGAACGGCGCTGGAAAGACCACTACGTTTAAGATGATAACTGGGGATGTGTTCGTTGATAACGGGAACGCCTACCTGAACAGTTTTGATGTGAAGCGCCACTTGAAAAAGGTACAAATCCATTGCCTTACGTTTTCATTAGAAAATAGCTTAAATTTTATCTTCGATTGTACACAGATGCTTCCAGTTTAATGTCACAACATATAGATTCCGGTATAAGCAGTCATGGTAAAGTTTTGTACAGACATTTCCCATAAGTACAGATAAACAAGTTACAATGAATGAAATGTTCCTTAATTTATATAATGACTGATTCAGTGATGCTTACATGAAGTTTCCTTAAGAACGTTTGTAGCTAGGCTAGAAGGTCAATGTCTCAATATTTCTTTTTTTTCAGTAAACAGGGGATTTAATTCTGCACTACACAGATGCCTAAGTATCATTAAACCATGTCATCGTTGACTGAATACTTTAAGTGGGAGAAGTATTGCTCCGCAGTACATTGTAACAACATGTTTGTGCAGGAGACTATTGATAGCATACCGATGAATGGGATTAACTTATTTTTTAACATATTTATGGAGCTAACTGAATAAAAGATTTCCTATGAGACTTTCCTAATCGTTTGATGACTGTTGAAGCAAAATTATTCAAACTTTTATCATTAAAGAGTATTTCTATAAAATGCATTCTGCTTCCGTTTTAATGTTATATTTCAAGAAAAAGACATTGCATTTATATATGGTATTCATTTTGCATTACTAAGTAAACTGACGCGTCTGTTTCATTTCATAGGTCCAGCAGAATCTTGGCTACTGTCCGCAATTTGACGCCCTGATTGACCAGATGACCGGCCGAGAGACGCTGACCATGTACGCCAGACTTCGCGGGGTTCCAGAGAACTGTATAAGAGACGTAGTGAGCGATCTGATGAATTCAACGATGCTGACAAAATACGCTGATAAAAACTGTGACCAGTACAGGTAAATTAAAGAAATGTGTATATGTGCAGTTCATCACATGCACAAAATGTGCGGAAAACTTTACCATGCCTCCTGTGTACCTCATCAGAGGGGAGAGGAAAGTGGAAAGGAGGTTAGAGTGGGAGGAAGAAGAGTGAGAGGAAAGATGTTAGAGTGGTACAGAGAGAGAGAGAGAGAGAGAGAGAGAGAGAGAGAGAGAGAGAGAGAGAGAGAGAGAGAGAGAGAGAGAGAGAGAGAGAGAGAGAGAGAGAGAGAGAGAGAGAGAGAGAGAGAGAGAGAGAGAGAGAGAGAGAGAGAGAGAGAGAGAGAGAGAGAGAGAGAGAGAGAGAGAGAGAGAGAGAGAGAGAGAGAGAGAGAGAGAGAGAGAGAGAGAGAGAGAGAGAGAGAGAGAGAGAGAGAGAGAGAGAGAGAGAGAGAGAGAGAGAGAGAGAGAGAGAGAGAGAGAGAGAGAGAGAGAGAGAGAGAGAGAGAGAGAGAGAGAGAGAGAGAGAGAGAGAGAGAGAGAGAGAGAGAGAGAGAGAGAGAGAGAGAGAGGGTAGGCGGGGAAATAAAAGGGAGAAATGTGTGAGAAATAGTTTGATAGAATGGGTGAGAAATAGTTTGATAGAATGATACAGGAAAATAAAGTAGAGAAAGGGGAGAACAATGGTTTGTGATATGGTACAGGGAAGAAGGGTAGATTGCCAGAAGGTAGGCTGGGAATAGGGGAGGGAGAAAGAAGAGAACATAGTTTGATACAAATGTAGAAAGGTACAAGAAAGAGGGGTAGAATAATGGAGTGGGGGTGAGGTGGGAGAGAAAAGGAACAGCGGTGAGAGAAAGAGGGGTAAAATAATGGAGTGGAGGTGAGGAGGGAGAGAAAAGGAACAGCGATGAGAGAAAGAGGGGTAAAATAATGGAGTGGAGGTGAGGTGGGAGAGAAAAGGAACAGCGGTGAGAGAAAGAGGGGTAAAATAATGGAGTGGGGGTGAGGTGGGAGAGAAAAGGAACAGCGGGGAGAGAAAGAGGGGTAAAATAATGGAGTGGAGGTGAGGAGGGAGAGAAAAGGAACAGCGGTGAGAGAAAGAGGGGTACCAAAGGTACAGAGAGGAGAAGTAGAGAGTAGGAGGGGGAAGGAATAGGCAAAGTTACAGGGGAGAGGGGTAGAGTTAAATATTAGGATGAAAGAAGGGGAGGAAGGGAATGGAGAGGAAGAGTAAAAATGGTAGAGTAGATTGGAGAAAAGATGAAGAGTGGGAAGGACAGTTCAGAGTAGAGGGGAAGTGTGTAGAGTTGGGAGGTGTATAGTGATAATAGAAGACAGGAAAGAGATGTAAAGAGGAGGAGGAGGAGAAAGGAGGAAGGTAGAATGCATTATGTTGAAGGGGAGAGAGGGAGGGACTTTAGAACTTGAAAGAACAAACGAGCAGCAGAAAACGGAGAAGAAGAATAGAGCTCAAGGGAGGCAATCCAGTCGTACTTGTATCTTGTGAAAATATCTACCATGGAAAAAGGCGATTCTGTTACCATTCGAATTTTATTGTATTTGATACCACAACACAAATTTACACCAATAGAGGGGATTTTACACTGATCATTGTCTTTTTCTAGTGGTGGTAATAAAAGGAAGCTAAGCACGGCCATCGCTCTGATCGGAGACCCGCCCTTTATATTACTTGACGAGCCGACAACAGGAATGGATCCTGGTGCTCGGCGCAAACTTTGGAACGTGCTTTCTGAAGTCAGAGCCAGAGGAAGGACTTTGGTGCTGACGTCACACAGGTAGAGAGGAAATTCATGAAATACTGCTACACTGATTACGTAATAGACAGCTATGGTTGTGTAATAATTAACGTGTGAAATATCTACCCTGTGCTATGCTAGAAAAACAGGTTTCTTGGAAATTCGGAGAAGTTTTCCACATAGAGTGAAAGTTATGTTTACATGAATAATTTATGTACTAAGTACACTGCTCCATACCCGAGTAACGTGCTTATTATCTCAAAATATCCTACAAAGTGCAATAATTATGTATTTATCTTATTTCAGTATGGAGGAATGCGACGCACTTTGTACCAAGATTGTTATCATGGTCAACGGGAGGTTTGTCTGTCTAGGTAGTCCACAACATCTAAAGAATAAGTTTGGACAGGGCTACACGCTCACTGTCAGACTTGGAACGGCAACAAATGGCAAATCAGTTTCACGGGATGACGTCAAAAATTACGTGATACAACATTTCCCTAACACGGAAGTGTTTGATGATTTGTACCAGGGCTATCTAACTTTCCAGATCCCGGACTCGAATGTTCCTTTGGCTAAGGTATTCGGTACGATGGAAAGGGTGAAAAATGATTTCGGAATCGGGGACTACTCGGTCCAATCAACAGCTTTGGAACAAGTCTTCCTGGCCTTCACCAGGAACCAGACATCAGCAGACGACAAGAAAAAACGAAAATGTTGCTGTTTTTCTTGTTGAATTAACAGTTGAACCACACACTTTATTTTCAAATATTCATGATGTATGCTATATATATAGAGTTAGTTCAACATAAGTTCACTGTTACATCAGCAACAAACGACATGGGGATTGTTTTGCACTAGCTGTGATAGTTGAGTTCATGAATGAACTGGAACAAATGAAAAGGCGATTAAACACAGTTGATATACATTTGTACCTGATCAAAACTGAGGTTCAGGCGGTGCTGACAGATCTAGGTAAAAATAATCCAGTGCACAGATACAGTGACTTAGATGTAATTACTGGCATAGTTATATCTACTAATGTCACCGTGCAATGAAGTTGCGATGCTGTATACTACGTTGTAAACTGAAGTTTTGATGATGAATACTACGTACCAGTGTTGTAAACTGGAGTTTTTATGCTGTATACTACGTACCAGTGTTGTAAACTGGAGTTTTTATGATGAATACTACGTACCAGTGTTGTAAACTGAAGTTTTGATGCTGTATACTACGTACCAGTGTTGTAAACTGAAGTTGTGATGCTGTATACTACGTACCAGTGTTGTAAACTGGAGTTTTGATGCTGTATACTACGTACCAGTGTTGTAAACTGAAGTTTTGATGCTGTATACTACGTACCAGTGTTGTAAACTGAAGTTTTAATGCAGTAATGTTGTACACTGAAATAGTAATGTACCTTTAACCATAGATGATGTAATAGTGCTGTACACTGACGTATTGATGCTGCATCGTTGTTATCATCATTTCTGTATTGGCAACAGGAATGTTAAACGTATTGTCATTTAATTTAATGCATTAACACGTTATATGAGATGTCACTTGTAGATCAGGATATCGATGACGTCATTATGTTGGGACTAGCCTATTGGCTGGTATAAGCCTGTGATATTGTGTTATATATCAGATCATTTCAAAGAGTCGGGGTTACGTTTTGTGTTCTAATCGCGATATGTTCGATGAATTTTTGTATGGTACAGTGTGATACAAGATAACAAAAACGATATTATTAAGACGAACTTTAACTAAAGAGCAGACAAAGGGGCGTTACTCTTTATAAAATAACCCACAGGTTTTGAAGATTTTAATGGTTTTTCATCACGAGAGAGATTGATGATTGAATCTGTTTGTCAGTATCACATTAAAGTCGACCTCAAGATAACGTTTATGGAGTAATCAAAACAAGTTGTTGTTAATTCACCGTCGTGATGTTTGTAATGTTATGTGACTAACTATGCTTAATTGATTTATATTTGTGAATCTCACTGCATTGTTGATAAATCACCATTCCCCCGGTTTGTAGGTAGTGTTAATTCCCGTTACCATTCCTCCCGGTTCGTAGGTAGTGTTAATTACCGGTACCATTCCTCCCGGTTCGTAGGTCACTAGTGTTAATTACCGGTACCATTCCTCCCGGTTCGTAGGTCACTAGTGTTAATTACCGGTACTATTTCTCTCGATTCGTAAGTAGTGTTAATTACCGGTACCATTCCTCCCGGTTTGTAGGTAGTGTTAATTACCGGTACTATTTCTCTCGATTCGTAAGTAGTGTTAATTACCGGTAGTGTGACTGGAATATTTTCTTTCAATGTTTATGTTTTATTTTACATTGTACATGTAATTTTTCATTTTCTTTGGTAAAAGCACAGTATTATTAAACTGTTATCTACCAATCATGCTATATATATAGAATCTTAAGAAATATTGTATTTTTTTATATTTAAACTTTACATACTATTTTGTCAGTGCTTGCCTTCACACAAAAGAGTTATTTCACAAATAAGATGAAAGTGTGTGAAACTTTTACTGTATAGTTTTACATTCCTTTGGACATGTGACGTCCTTATCAGTATGTAATTAGGTTTCATTAGCCTCCATGATGACAGTCCTTATGAGCATTTTACGTAGAAATTTGCATATCGGAAACACATTAGTATTTCTATCCATATAGCAAGATGGAATCGTTTCAAGAATCGATGTCGAATGTTTTTCCATTTAGGACTTTAAAACTTTGTAAGTTGATTTCCCATACCGTGAAGGAAGGTCTGAGTAATTGTGGTGTCAAAAGATATAGTTACGGATGCACTAGAACAATCATTAACTGTTGTTTTATAAATTCGAAATGGATTATAGGAATTTGGAAATACAGAGCATGACTACAAGACAGTTATGCTCATTCTGCAAATATAAACTTTATTTATTTTTACAACAATTATGAAACAAGTTATTTCAACTTATATTTATATTAATCACTCTTGTTGGCCTCAGATGTTATCGCGCGGGGGTCTTTGTTTGGGTTGATTTGCACCAGTTTGTTTCATTTCTATTAACTGTGAATTTTACGAGAAAAACTTGATAACCGGATTTATTGATTCATTTTGTAAAACTATAATTTGATACATGTTCTAAATATAAACCTGCTTATTACAGCTTAGAGAAGTTTTTAATTTCATTGGCGGCGAGAATATTGGACAAAAAAATAAAAGTTGTGCATAACATTGAACTAGAATTAATGCGCACATTTCATCACTGGCGACATTTTGGATTGTATCTTAGACCAGATCGAAATTGTCCTGTTTGTCAATATATAAATTGCGGTTGCTAGTTGATTTTGTTTTCCCCCTAGATATAATAACTACAATGTACATGCACTACATTAATTAAAAGGTAAGAATGCGTACTGCCGACATTTGACTACCGAACCGTTATAATCTTCGGCTTCTCTCTGGCCATGGTTTCCTTGGACAGCAATCGCTGCCTCTGGTTGACAATATGTTAAGTAAACTTCTTGCACGTTTATCATATGTATATACATTATAATACGACCATACACATGGATTTGCACATAAGCAGTAACACGCATTCTATAGGGCAAATTATAAAAAAAATATGACAGCTTCTTCGTGGCTGTTTATAGTCAATATGAATGCCAACTTCACCCATACACCGTATAAAGAGCGCTTACTCGATTGCATTAGTATTCATATTAGTTTCGAATGCAAACTAGAAGCAGTGATTGTACTTAATCATTGTAATATCATTTTGAGATCATAGAATTTATTTATTTATGACATGGAAGCATATTGTACATATTAATGAATTTATTTACATTAATAAAAATAGCTGACGGAAAGAAGACACGGCGATAGTTCTAATCGGGTACCTTTCGAAGTATGCTGCTAAACGAGTGACTTATAAATGGTACTGAGCGAAATCCTTATATGTATATCCTTTACTTCTTATTCTGTCAAAGTGAAATAAATATCTAATGTATGAAGGTAATCTACTTCCATGTTACGGATCTTCGTAGATAGTAAATACATTCCATTATAAGTTAATTTCACATTGTTCACATTTATAAATGATCATTAATCATTATTACATATATCGTATTGTAAGTGCTTTAATATGGGAGATTGCAATATTAATTTCTTGCTGAAGGAACTGATGTGTCTTGTATCCATTGGGAGGCCTTTAAACTCCCCCGTCCAATAGAACTCTTGTTTCCCTCCTGTTGTTTTCTCCCCCCTCTCAATACATCTTAAACGATCGGATTTATAATAAACTGAATTTATCTCTTCTTGCTTTTCAAACCACGCAAAGGATAACCATCCATAGTTTAAACATATTTTATTGTACAAATATACAAATGGATCGGACAACAAGTTATTACAACTTAATAGAGTCCTCACCTCAATACATATTGTAAAAATAGTGTATTATGTTTTTGGGGAAAGGGAAAAGATAGGTTGAGGAAGGAACTGTGGGCTGGGAGGGGGTGGGGGTGATGGAGGGAAGGGGTGTTACCTAGAAAATTAAACTTGTAAACTGAGAAATTGATCCGCATTTGAATCAATTATAAATTATACAGATTTCATGACATGCATCCTGGTAGAGTACTTTCAAAAGAACAGAATCAATGTAACAAATAAATCAGGCAAAATAATGAAATTCAATTTCATAAACACATATAGCAACTTAAATAAGAATAGAAAATTAATTATTAATATCAAAACCTATTGCTGGATTTTATGTAATGATGCACATGTCTGAAGATACTTATGTTGTTTTCTACCGAAAGTTGACTATTTCCAAACAAAAGTAGTTCTAAATTAAAATCAACATGCAAGGCATTCAAATTTGGGAGTAGGTTATGTCTTTCGTTGTTAAAAAGTAAGCACTCACAAAAAAAGTGAAAGGCATTTTCACAAGGATGGCCACAATAACAAACTGGACTATCAACCAGATTTACTCTAAAAAGATCATAGTTAAGTGGACTACACTGATGTCTAAGTTTAGTATGCAAAATGTTCAATTTACGTTCACCGAAACCTAAGTAAATTGGTGGAGGAGATTGTATATTTGAAGTTAATGAGTTTATAAAAGAATGTAATGAGGGCAATGATCGTACTGAAAGGTCCAATGAATTCCAACCGCGAAGAGTTGAAGGTATAAAAGATGAATTTGTTAGAGAAAGCCTGAAAGGGCAAATTCTATAATCATCATTGTTTCTAAGGGTATAACGGTTATTTTCTGCAACGGAAGATGGCAATAGAGAATTTAAATAGTCTGGAGTTAACTTGTTGTGCATTTTATACAAAAGTTGGAGTTTTCTGCGTTTTCTTCTATTCGAAAGAGTTTCTAGACCAGTTTCAAAAAGTAAGTCTTCAATTCGTGCATATGAAGGAAGACCAGTTATTATACGAGACGCTTCTCTTTGGGCTTTCTCTAACAATTCTGTTTCATAAGTTGTACAACCATCCATACCAAGATGGCCCGACTCCGATCCAGGACCTTGCCTCATTGATTACATTAAAGATACTTTAAGTGAATAGAAAACACCCTCACTTATAGGTCTTTTTGATATTTTGTAAATCAAATATTTATCACATATTTACAAACATGATGTAGGTTTAGATATCTCATTTTAATCTGCAAGTTATAATTCGCATTTTCCTTTGTAACCTGTTGGTTTGTCATCTGTATATTATAGTACACTGTGATCTGTGATTTAAAGTTTATCATTGACTGTGATTTACAGGAGAGCGTTACATTGTCGGAGTACTATTTATTTGTGGATGCATATAATAAAGTTTAAATTTATACATTTGTTGTCATTTGTAAATATGATCTCGCCAATTATCTAATCAATGAAAGGGGTTATTCGCCCTTTCACCCCTAGGTAACTTTAGTAAACTCTACCATTGATCTGGGGTAATTTTGACGTATTGCTTTAAGCGACTTCTTTTCTGGATCAATGTGATCGATATTAATATAGCCATATTTGATTTGGAGCTTTCCTCGGTGGTTGAGGATTCAATATTGTACCAGTTGAAAGAGCTGAGGGGCGTGTCGAAAAAAAAAAGACTTTTTAATATTTAACAGACTCGTTAACATTGATCCTGGTGTCATCAACACCAACCATAGGAACTAAATTTCTGAGCCATAACTTTGAAACAGTTGAGATCTCGTTCCCATAACCATGTATACCATTGCTGGTCATTAGAATTAAGGGTCTGGCTTCAACCCTGGGGACCTAATATTTAGGTAATAACTTTGAAACGATTGAGATCCCCGCCCCATATCCATATATACTGTTGTTTGGCATCAAGAGACGAACACAATAATGGTATAACAATTGATCCTGGGGTCTAACACCAACCCTTGGAACTGAATTCCTGAGCCATAACTTTGAAACAGTTGAGATCTTCTTCCCATAACCATATTTGCCATTGCTAGGCATCGAGAGAGGAACACAATCAAGTTATTAGAATTGACTTTGGGGTCTGGCTTCAACCCTAGGGACCTAATATTTAGGTCATACTTTTGAAACGATTGAAATCCCCACCCCATAACCATATATACCATAATATACAGTATCCTTTCTTTATGTACAGTATCACGTTATCATCTCTCTATAGAACCTGTAGTGAAGCGTGTACAGGTAAAATCTCACTTGCTTTGAACGCTTTTTTCCAACCCCAGTCAGCCTTGTTCGCTTTGTGCTCAGTTGTGATTTATTCCGGGGAAATATATGCCATTATTCTGGAGATTTGACTCATTTTCTTACAATTTTCATTTACAAATGCATCTACATGGACATCAGCCTTATGATATTTACAAGTTTAAATGTTTTTTTCTTCCTGAATTGTGACTTTTATTTAGCTTGGAAAATTGACATATAATTTTTTTTTTTTTCATCAGTTATTGAATGTTTTTTTCTGAAATTTAGTGTGCATGTACCTCAATCATGTTTGAGAAATATTGAAGGAGGATTATTTTGTGACAGGGATTGTTTAATGCTAACGGAAAGCATTATTGAATTTGATATTCAGTTGGGTGTGGCAGCCATATTGAAATGCTTTAAATAAAATAGTATATACGTACGAGCGATGCATTAAAGATTTTTCCGTGCACAAGTTTCGTTATTGTTGTAGACGGCAGCTGATGTTATGTGTGTACATATTTATATCTGTTACAAAAGACGCTAAATTACAAACGTCGCTAGCCTTGCCGATACAACAATGTTATATATAGTCGCATGACTGCGCACCAGCGGGCACAGGTAAAAATCTGGGACACCCGTCTCACGCTTCCTTGAACTCACGAGGTATTGGATTGTGATGCCGCTACACGTATACGTCATGACTAGATAATAAGACAATTTAGTGTATTTCGTGATACATATATATGTACTTTGCATAAATCGATTCTGAACCGATCTCTTGCAGCCAACGGATGTGCTTCATATAACCTGCTTCCTCTGTTCTAAATATAGTTCAGGAAAGACCTACGTATACATTAAAATAACAAGTGTACAATCGAATGATCATTCCCCGGCAGTGAACGTGTGTGGATCAAAACAGCGATCGGAACTATGGGGGCTGCCGGACAATTCCTCTTGTTAGTATGGAAGAATTTCACGGTGTCTCGTCGCAATTACTGTGCTACAGTTTTCGAGGTGGCGTTGCCAGTCGCCTTTTCCTTGTTGTTACTGATGCTGCGGTTGCTGGTGACCAGTGTCGACCACATCCAACCCTTCAGGTGGGATGGTTTCCTAGTGGACAATTTTATAGATGTCAACGGGATTTTTTACTCTCCTAACAACACCTCGATCAGAAATGTGATGAACGAACTGTCGGCTACTCTCGGGCAACACGTCAACATTACAGGTAAGCCCCTCCCCACCCCCATTCTCGATATCCAGGGGTTACGTTTAATTTTGCTCTCTACACCCATGGAATATTTCATGGCAAAATTGAAGATATCTGTTTGATTGGTCTCAGGTAAGAAAAACTGACCAATCGCTAGGCTGATACATGTCCTTGGAGAGACGCCCGACTTCAAAGCCTGTCAACTTTTACCGTTACGTGACCGTGAGATTCTTTTGATATATATCAAAGGACCGAACTAGTCTCCTTGTCTCATCAACAAGGTGGCGCACACCGATCCTTCAATTTCGCTATGACATATTCCAGGGGTGTAGAGAGCGAACGTGAGCGTAACCCATGGATAACGAGGATGCCCCGCCCCAATCTCCACGCAGAGTTACGGTCCTTGCACTACAACTCTGGGTAGAGATTGGCCTCGCCCCCGTACCCTCCCCCCTAAATTTGTTCAAGGACCCCAACCAGACCTTTGTCCCCCATCTGGAGTATTAGGGTCTGGTCAAGAAGTATTATGATACATTCGTTGTGACGAAACTCACAGGGCCATACAGGTTCTAGTCCTTGCGATAATCATGAATAGTAAGCAGCTGTAACAACACCACGTACAATCAATCGGGAACCGTCGGCACTTTCCGTAAACGAGAAAATACGGCCGAGTACAAAACCCGGAATGCACTCAGATGTGAAGAGATTTTTTATGAAGCTTTGTATGTATTTATTATTAGGTCATATCTCTGTCAATACAAAATACATTTTTATTCAGAGACCAGCATAGGAAAGATAATTTAATACCCGTTACAATGGTAGAAGTTATGTTGAGCAGTATTTTGAATTAGAAGTAAAAGTGGTGGCCGGAATATCCACTATGAAATAAAAATGGCAATATTTTCAACAGTTATCGTTCAAATAAATACTCATATCTCTAATAATACTGAAATGATATTTGTTCGGAGACCCCTCTAACCAAGGGAATTTAACACTCTTTACGATGCTATCAATTGTTTGAACACATCTTACATATTTATCGCAAAAGTGTGGCCGGAATGGATCACAGTCGTATGAAAAATAAGGAAAATTATCAAACTTTCTCGTAAACTTCTGTCTTTCCTGATCCATAACTCGTTAGTTACTAAACCGATATTTGTTCGGTGACCACTCTAGACAAGATAATTTTATACTCTTTAAGCTGATATTATCGTTATTTATATACATTACAAATTCGATGCAAAAGTGGTGGCCGGAATGAACTACTATGAAATCTGCGGACGCCATTTGAAGACAATCCACGCTAACACATTTGCTAAAACAACACGCCACCTGCATGGTGAATAGCGACCGGTGTATATACTTCAACTAGGTAATGGTCAATTAACACCTTTAATATTCTAATGGTCGATGACTGTTCATTTACAAGATTTAGCTAGAATTCTATAGTCAGACGAGAAAGATTTCGACGAGACAGTCAAACTTCTACCCTTCGCACAGGGTGGTCGGGTGGTGCAGTGGTGTTTTGTTTTCCTATGAGAAAGGTTTGTGGAAACGAGGCGGGTATTATGTTGAAAGTTGACCTGGAATGGGCTCTGCCAATCAATTGAGTATAGAGTGACCTGCATGGAACACCGAAGTATTGTGTGCGAGTCATGCGATCAATGGTACAATACAAGCTGTCAAAATATCCATAGTAATACTTACCAGGACCTCAATGATAGCATGGTGAGCTGGTATTGTATTATTTGTGACCAACCAAATTACAGCTCAATAGCTTATGATCTACATGGCATCAGCACATCAAACCGTTATGACACGCTCAATAACATCATGAGTCCCACATACGGTAGCAACATAAGCAATGATATGCCAAATAGACCCCTTCACGCCTCGACACCTGTACGACGGAGAAGCAACATGGCCAATCCAAAACATGTAAAGCCCCTGCGATTACTAAATGTAAATTTCAGTCAGTGAAAAATAAGCAACATCTCTTCATAAACCTACTCGAAAGTTCCAAGCCTGATGTAATATTCGGATCAGAAACATGGCTTGATAAAGACTCGGAATGTATGACAGATAACTTTAAAGTTTTTCGGAGAGACCGAATGTCAAATATGGATAAGAAAGGGGGTGGGGTACTCGTCGCAATAAGATCAGACTTTGTCAGGGATGAAGTAACAGACCTCACCAATAAAGAGGACCCAACTGAATTAGTTTGGGCTAAAGTACAAATTTCCGGAATGTAATCCCTATACCTAGCTTCCTTTTATAATCCTGAAACATCAGATGAGATTAGTCTAAAGGGTCTAGAAACATCACTCAGGAACGTCACATCTATAAACAATGCCCAAATCTTGCTAGATGGGGATTCAATTATCCAGGCTGGGACTGGAAAAACAAAATCCTAAAAACAAAAACAAATCATCCCAAATTACACTTTTATTTTGGTAACCTATTGGACGATATGGGTCTTACACAGATCGTAGAACAAGCTACAAGGAAATATAACACCATCGACCTGGTAATTACAAACATACCAAACCAGGTTATAAGATCTGAGGTCATGCCTGGTATATCAAACCATGACTGTGTCTTTGTTGAGTTTAATTTAAGCCTACAAAAGGCTAAAACTATTCCATAAATAGGATGTAAATCATACATGGGAACTCTTCAAATCAACCCTCTGTGATCTCATAAAGGACAACATACCTCATAAAACCATCGAACCCAAACCTAGTCTACCTTGGGTCACTCCTGGCATTAAACACTTCCTCAGGAAAAGAGATCGACTCTATAAAAAGGTCAAAAAGTCTGGTAATCTGAATATGAGGACTAAATACAAGGCTCTAAGGCAAGACATTTAAAAGAAACTCAGAAGGTCATACTTGCAATATGTTGAAGGCATTCTTACCCCACAAGAAATTTTATATATAACAATATTTTAGTGCCTCCAAAAGATTCTGGTCATACATAAAGCATAAGAAGACCGACTATAACACACAATTCCAGTCTGATTTTAGCCCAGGTGGTAAATTATCCTCTGACGAATTCCTTAAAAAATGTAACATCCCATCTTCTACCCAGTACCCTATTATGCCAGAATTTGATATCACTCCAAATGGCGTACAAAAATTACTGCAAAATGTAAAGAAGCTGGACCTGACGATTTGAAGCCCAAGATCTTGAAAGAACTCTCTTCTGAAATTGCCCTTGTCCTCTCTATCATCTTTAACGAATCTCTTCATTCTGGCACAGTTCCCTCTTATTGGAGGTTAGTGCATGTCTCTCCTGTCTCTAAATTAAATCCAGAAAATTGCAGGCCAATCTCTCTCACATGTATTTGTAGCAAACTTCTAGAACACATAGTGGTCAGTAACATCATGAACCACGCTGACAAACATACTAACATCCTTTGCACACTCCAACACGGTTTTCGAAGGTCAGTATCATGTGAGAGTCAGCTCATTGAATTTGTTGATGATGTCAGCTCCAACATTGACAAGGGAAAACAAACCGACGTCTTGATTATGGATTTTTTCAAAGCTTTTTACAAGGTTTGTCATTCGCTTCTTTGTCATAAGCTTCGTCATTATGGTGTAAACGAGAAGGTTAACACCTGGATAGAAAACTTCCTGGATAATAGGAAGCAGGCTGTCATCGTTGAAGGTGTGTGTGTGTGTGTGTGTGTGTGTGTGTGTGTTAGCATTATTGATGTGAAGTCTGGTGTTCCCCAAGTCTCGGTTAGTGGCCCATCCCTCTTTCTATTTTATGTACACGACATTCCTGTTGGCCTAAACTCCACTGTACGTCTATTTGCAGATGACACCATTGTCTATCTTACTATAAAATCACCATCTGATGACAAATTATCTCTGTGGGAGAAAGCATGGGAAATGTCCTTCCTTCCCGACAAATGTAACGTCCTTTCCATCACCAACAACAAACACCAACAACATCACAAATGCATACTGCACGGAAAGGAATTACAACTCGTAGACAAAGCAAAATATTTAGGTGTCACTATACAGTCAAATCTCAAGTGGGAATGTCATATAAATAACATCTGTGGGAAAGCCAACTCCACCTTGGGCTTTTTCAGAGGAAATCTAAAGATAAACTCTACGTCTGTTAAGGAGCGGGCATATAAAACACTTGTCAGAAATCTTGTCTGTTCATAGGGCTGTTACAAGATTAGAAGGTAAGATTACAAGATGTTTTGTGACTGTTTTGAGTTTCACGTCCTCACAAAACATTGTTTGTTTCAGGAAACATGAATAAAAACATTTTTTTCTCCGTTTTTTTTGGTGTTTTTATTCCTTTATTCAATTTTGAGAAAGCCCGGTCGGGCTGTCATAAAAGAATTTACAAAATCACCAAACATACTTTTTCTGACCAATTATGTTTATTTTCGTTATATTTTCATGCCCTTTAAATAATTAAATATGATTCGAATTTGGTTTTGATACCTACTTATGATTTTCGGCGCGTTCGAATGGGTCGTTTAAGTGCATTCGAGTGAGATACACGTTTTAGGGTGGGAGGTAAACATTATGCATATTATTTGTCCTAACATGGCCATTCAGGAACTATTCTAAAATGTCATATCACTGAAATGTCATAACTTGGACACATGAGCGTGACACTCCACGTGTCACATTACACTGCACGAGCTTAACAGTCCTTATTGTCATCCATTTAAAGCTTATCGTCGAAGTAAACGTTTTGAAGACTTTGGTTTGTCTCGATCAGGGTACAGAACCCTTAACCTTCCTCGCTTGGGTGAACTTTCAACACTAAGACCAAGAGCGTTGTATTGCCTATCAAGGCATAAGGAATGAAAGAAGACAGTAAAAACAAAGGGCAAAAATGATCCCAAATATTGCAATGGATGCTGAATATTTCTATGTAGAATTATCATAACCTACTGACCAGTTAATCAATTAGTCAATGTTCTCTATCGGAGGCACTTCGACTTACAATAAAGAACAGTTTACGGTAATGAACCTGTCCTGGGCCTGTATTGACGAAGTCGTTCACGCTACAGCATGGATTTTGCACTCAAAACAACTTTCTTGTATCTCACTTTAATCATGTCAAAAGACAAAAAAGTATAAAAACATTTAAAACAGAATTCGGCTCTACGTCTCTTAACAGCTTTTCCAAATCATTGACAAACTAAGATTAGGAGAAGTTAGAACCAGGACAAGAAATTAGGCTTGAACACATAATACATGCTTGAGCATGAGAACAGTTTCAAGAATACGGGCCCTGGCATCAGTATTTACGTATCACAATCTAGAATTGCTCGTGACACTTGCTAGATTTGACTTGACACATCTTGACAGAGTCACATGTGGTGTAGGAAACGTTTATATTTTTAGTTAGACCATCTTATGCTGGTTCTCATTTTACTGTAAGACTATAGAACTGTAAAATTCAGTTTACAATTTCACTTCCCCAGGCTTTCCAACCTCCGCTGTCGCCGTCAGTGAGTACGAACAGAATCCAAAAGAGGTATGGGCTGTTATAGAGTTCGATGGACAATTTTCGGGCTCTTCACTGCCTGCAGACATCACATACAAGCTCCGTGTGGCCACCTTACAATTGGGGGATGACCGTTAGAAAACAGATCGAACCTATCAGTTTTTTCAGCAGTTTGGACCAAGGGAACAATACAGCAATTATTCTGGAGATCCATGTAAGAATCCATCAACAGATGAGTAACAATTTGCTTGCCAATCTTGGGCAACAGTCACCGTTCATATCAATAAAAAAATCATCATTTAAGATGATTTCTCCTAATAATTGTGTTTTTTTTATTTCAGTTTGTAAGACATACACATTACACGAATTCAGCATCTAGTTAAGTAAAGCTGTTAAATAAATAAAATGGTTAAGTCATCAGATGACGTTGATAAAGGAACATTCTTGCTGACAAATTGATACTAATTTATGTGATTTTTGAAACATATTTCATGTTAAATGTAAACTAAACATCTATGACTAAACCATCAACCATGTACTGAAACTGATCTCTCTCCTTCAGACTACCGGGAGAGAGGTTTCCTTTATCTTCAGTACGCCATCGATAAAGCCATCATAGACCAAAAGAGCCCAGGGAACGGCCTTGGAACCAAGTACACAGTGAGTCTCCGAAAGATGCCCTACCCGCCCTACGTGGAGGATACACTTCTGGTCGTGCTACGATCAAGTCTGCCGGCCATTATCCTCTTTGCATTTATTGTGACAGTGTTCCAGACCACCAAAAATATTGTTTATGAAAAGGAGAAAAAACTCAAGGTGAGTAACAACCCACAATATCAGATGGGAGAAGCTAAACACCCCTTGCATCTAGAATTGAAATCCTGGTCGTCCCGATCTAGTGGGACACGGTGTGTTCCATGTCTGTTACAGAAAAACCATGTGAAGGTAAAACAGATGTCACGCTGGTTAAAGACTAGCTGCTTCTACCTTCTCGGCTAATTTCTCTTTGGTTCATTCGATACAGCGAAAGACTAGTGAGACAGAGGTATCGGGTTCGAATTCTGGCGGAGGCATTGGAAAACTGATGACCTCTATTTCACAGATGTGATTTCACACAGCACCGATGGATCAGGGTATATATTAATCAGGTGTCTGTATCGGTAATGTTATTGTTGTCATATGTTGAGAAAATCATTAATTTGAACTCGGTGATCGGATGGGAGCAATATACGTTGCATCACGTGTTTGGTAAAGGAACTTTATACTTTGACATTTCCGTTTTATAGCAAGCGTCGTAGTTTGAACTTTGGATTTGTTATAGACTAAATTTCTTTCAATCTAGGCTTGATATTTTGCAGTTTAAACCTGTTGCTTGGGAGGCAACGATGAATGTCGAATCTTTTGTTTGGAGGAGACAGTGAAGCTGAACCTCTCTTCATCAGGAGAAGACAAAACTAGTGAGATGTTTGAATCTTTTGTTTGCAAGAGACGGGTAAGCTGACGGAATGTTTTAATCTTTTTCATTTTCAGGAGACGATGAAGCTGATGGGATTGCACCCCATCTTGTATTGGTTGTCATGGTTCACCAAAGTGTTTATCTACATGCTTATCGCTTGCTTCTTCTTCACTCTGATGATGGCAATCGACACTGGTGATACCGGAAGTGTACTGCCGAAGTCATCGCCCACTCTCATCTTCGTTTTCCTCCTCCTCTACACGCTAGCAATCATTGCGTTCTGCTTCATGATCGCGTCCATATTCAGCAAAGGTAGATATACATTTACATTCAAGGCTTTACGAATGATAAAAAGCAAGATTTGATTAATTAACTTCAGTAAAACCTCCATACAAAGCCCCTCGTTTCTTTTGCCACCTCGCTTACCGCCAATATAGTTCAGGGTCCATTTTCTCTTTTCATTTTCCTTTATGTTTATACTTTATTTCTATATACTTAATTTATTGCCAAAACCCCTTACAACGCCTAAGTTTGTCCGGACAAATAATGGCAGTATTGCGAGGATTTACTGAATATGTGAATGTACTGAGCGTAATATGTGCATATGGGGGAGGAGGGGTATACATTGAAGAGCTGTACAATATATAGAAGTAGGGAAGGATTTTTTTTTTTTTTTGACATCAATGAATATTGACGCGGACTTGGTTTTATGTGGTTTTATTCATGCATTTGTACATTTACACAAAGAACTTGATTACCTGTACATTTTCGGTCTGCAATTTACTAACGTTATACTCGACAGCCACTTCCGTTGTGAATTTCAGGTCTGTATTTTACTAACGTTGTACACCACAGCCACTTCCACTGTGAATTTCCGGTCTGTAATTTACTAACGTTGTACTCTACAGTCACTTCCACTGTGAATTTCCGGTCTGTAATGTACTAACGTTGTACACAGCCACTTGCGCTTTGAATTTCCGGTCTGTAATGTACTAACGTTGTACTCCACAGCCACTTCCACTGTGAATTTCCGGTCTCTATTTTTCTAACGTTGTACTCCAAAGCCACTTCCACTGTGAATTTCCGGTCTGTAATGTACTAACGTTGTTCTCCACAGCCACTTCCGCTTTGAATTTCTGGTCTGTAATTTAATAACGTTGTACTCCACAGCCACTTCTGCTGCCTTCGCCGCAGGTATCCTGTATTACCTGTTCTTTGTACCTTCGTACTTCCTGTCCGATGAGTACGACACTCTGAGTCGGAGTGTGAAGCTGGCCACGTGTCTGCTCCACCCTATGGCCCTGGTTTGGGGAGTCACTACTATCACCATATACGAGGGTACAGGTAAGTCTTCTAGATTCTTCCTTGGCAAGTTCTGGCTATATTTTATCAGATGTATACAAAAGCCCACCTGTAACGTTGTTGGGATCGATACCTCTAGTTATGGGAACCGGACAACATATAAAAATATACAGCAACATACATTTGAGTTTAAGAAAACAAAACACCTAAAACAATGCAAAAACATGCTCGAATGCATGTGATGAACAAGTTTCATATTTGAAATAAATACCTTAAATGTGTTTTTCCTAAAATATCGATTGTTTTGTGAACAATTTGAGAACTGATCATCTGAGGTATCCCAGTAAGATCAAATACCTTAAATGTGATTTTCCTAAAATATCGAATGTTTTGTGAACAATTTGAGAACTGATCATCTGAGGTATCCCAGTAAGACACAGTAGGTGATTTTATTAGCCCTTGGGTTATAGAACCCATCGGCAAATACATACAGTAATGCAACATGGTTAATACAAATATGTGTGCAAAACAGAAATAAAACGTTGTACATACAAGGATTCTATTCAATCGAAAGTGTGCATCATGATGACACTCTACGATACTTGTAGAGTATACACAGCCATAACGTTCTAATAACGTTACAATGAGACAATATATGTATATCTATTTTAAAATATATTGTTAGTTTCACGAGTGTAGACAGAAGGTATTCGATAATGGAATCGTAGTTTTGGCGCTGAAGACATATTGAATTCATCCTCGACTTCGGATAAATAGTACAGGGTACGAAGTCTATTACCTGTAACTGTCCTGTTGTACTTACCTTTTACAATGTTGAGATAAGGAACCTGAATTCTATACTTACAGATGATATACATAAGTAAGTAAGATTGTAGTCCAAACGTGTCAACAATAAGCTTATACAAAACACATTTCGGAGAATAGTTAAAAGAATTATTTAAGCAATGATTATGAATGTTTTAGCAAATCCTATAACAGATCCTTTTCAACAGAACAGAACAACATTGCTGTCCTCTACTTCTACACTAGCGTCCGTTGCAAACTTGGCGAAGCAGGTCAAATCATCCCGGCATGTCGGCCAGTCCCTCAGTGACAGTCACACATGTCGAATGCTCCAACAATGAGCTAGCCCCGTTGTCACAGTCGGTCGACATAATAATTCAGTCAACAGCGTCTTTTAAATCGTCATATGGTTTCTTAGGAAACTTCACATTCCACAGACACACTTTCAAATTCCATTCACCCATCTCGGTGACATTCCAACCGCTTCGTGGCCTGATGAGCTTAGCCGCTGCACGACCGTTGTTTATCGGTCAGCTACCATCGCGAACACGTACTGACTTTTTGTAACTAAAATATCTTAAAGAGTATTTTTGTTTCGAATTAAGGTCTACCGTCAATGTTTAACATAATCAATGCTGATATGCAAATCAAATGATTAAAAATAAGCAAATTGGAACTATTTGTTTATTGGTCAACTGTGTATTTCGTCACCATTGACAACGCATCATTTTTCCCCGCGAAAAAGGCTGTTCAATTTGTGTTGTTTTCAGGACGGTGTATTGCTTTTTCTTAATAACAAATAATGAAAATGAATATAATAGAACGTAATTATAAAGTTTGAAATGCATCTTTTTAACATTTATGAGGGTATGCAACACAGTCCGTTCAAAAATATTCTCCAAGATGTAACGCGCATCCTGTAATATAATTCAACGGAACTGTGTTGCATATCCTTATGAATGTTAGAAATATGCATTTCAAACCTTCAATAACACACATTGCTTCTGATGAAAAAGTTAATAAAGCCCGGTAGAACTTTATGCAAGCTTGTCAGCAATAGAAAAGTGTCTCATAAGACCAATCCCAATATTTGCTAAAATATGCATGACTTATGCTTTATTTGGTTCTTTGAACAGCAAATTAAGTGTCGAGAATAATGAAATTAGTGACGTCACAAAAGAGATTGATGACGTTACAATAGCAAATGTTGTTACAGTCTTGTCACAACATTTGCCTTCTCAATATATTGCAATGGAAGGATGCAGAGCAAATGTAAAGGTTTAGTTATAAGTTATCGTAAAGACCCTGGTTACCGACATGCTGGTCGTTCCAGACCCTACTGACTGGGGTTTTACATGATCCAGATGTCTCTGCTGTCAAGCTAGCGATAAAGGAGTTACAGAAGGTTATCTTGACGCGAATTAGAAATGTAGTTAGTTATGTCAAGTAAATTCAGTAAGTATTTAATCACAAGAAGTTGTAAAGAGTAAAACGGCCCAGTTCGAAATAAACCACGAAGCGGTTACAACATTTCTTTACATTCCAAATCTTCTTTACAAATTTTAAATATATTTTTGCGAAAATCTAAGCTGGGCGAAATTCTCCAATTTCACATTAATAATTCAGAACATAGCCAGCCGACATAAATGTCAAACAATGACAGTCTAGTTTTATGATTAAGCATATGGTCTTTGTCTGTTTACACAATATAATCTTGTGTTTTTGCCTTGTGATGCAATATTGCTTTCGGCGAGTGCAAATATGCCATATAATGAAATGTAAGGCCGACATAACGAAATTATCGACAATCTCGTCGGATTGACAGTACCAAACTTCATTGACAGATATCGTTTGGATTTCCTAAGATCAACGATTTTTGTTTTATTGACATTCCCGTTCACAGTCCATTTTTTTGTAAACTCCGTATGAATACAGTTGATCAAATTTGCAGATTGGCAGGATCCTCTGAAAATAGGACATTGTCATATGTATACACAAGTTTAGCATAAGCAATAGATACATTGCGGGCTGAAGTTATCTGTAGGTTAGTTATGGGGAGTTCGTTATTTATTATAACTAAACCGCTGCCAGCATCCTGACATACTTAATACTAATTCATTGAAAAATTAATCACTAACCACAAACACGTTAATCATTGCGAGTTACTGATTTAAATTTGTGAATCGAACAACTAAACTGCTACCAACAGCGGATTCACTATTCAAGATTGTGACTTTCTAATTCTGACCGCATTGAAAAAACTAATCACAAATTATGAACAGGTAAATTATTGCGAGTAACAGATTGGTAATAACTTAACCACTGCCAGCACGGATTGGTGATTCAGTCAACTTAACCGCTGCCAGCACGGATTGGTGATTCAGTCAACTAAACCGATGCCAGCACGGATTGGTGATTCAGTTAATTTAACCGATGCCAATAGCGGATTATTGTAGTTATTTAGATCAGTAAAGAAATAAATACACATACATTTTTGTATGAATAAATATTTCAATTCCTTCTCAAGTTGGACTCAATGCAACTACATGTACCAAATGTAACCTGTTTCATTTGCCGATGAATTTGACCAGATTAAAATTGCCTGTTCGTATGATTTCGCGAAGAGTGATAATTTGATTGACATGTTTCAACAAAGAAGATGCCAGTTGATTAGATTTTACATTTTTATTGAAGCTACACAAGAATCGTTCAAACAACCAAAAACGATCAATCAACAAAAATAATATCAGCTCACGGTTGCTAGCGGTAGTGACAAGTCATGTACTGCCCTAGAAATTCTACCTCCAGCTACCCATTTTGCCTCTCGTGTCAGTATCAACCCCGGTACAAATAGAAAACAACGTAGATCCATGTGGTCCCGTCTTCTCTGAAATGCAGTCGAACAGCCAACTGCCATGTCAAATTCTTTCGTCCTTTCAGGCCACGTTTGGTGTCCTGTGTAATTCGACATTCAATTATTGCAGCTTCACATTCAAAAAGATGTAGAACCTTGAAATTAAGCGGCTCTTCACTTCGAGCTAATAAAAATATGGCTACCGTAGACTCGCAGCTGAGCCTGCACACTGCGTCTATACATTATTCCTTCCGCGATGACGCGTCAGAAAATTTGATATGTTATGATATCATCAACAAAAACAAAATACGCCATTAAAATATGGTTTTGTGTTTTGTTTCTGCATAATTTGGCTGTTTTGAACTATCAACGTACACCATCATGTTGTATGGTGGTCTTTCAATGACGAACTATATTTTTTTACATTACGTCAATACGTAGACTTGCACATGCTCCAGAACCTAGGACAAACTATCAGAATGGACTTCACAAGTTCCAGTAATTGAAAAAATAACTCATGTTGATTGAAATATAAGGTTTTAATCTTGCTTTGGTCGATTTCATGGGGTGATGAATTGAGTTGGCCTTGAAACAAATTCAACATGAACTGCAGTTCAATAAATTTGTTTCAAGACCAACTCAATTAATCACGCCATGAAATCGACCAAAGCAAGTTTCAATCCTTAAAAAAATGAAAAAGTCGACAACATGAGCAACAATTGTACCGTCATGATATCAAATTTTCCAAATCGCTATCGTACCGTTTGATTTTTAGTTGGACTTTTTGAACGTATTTGAATACATCGGCAATATCTTCATCTGAGGGAGTTGTGTCGCCAAATAACATATTAAAATAATTATTTACTGTTAATTATGTATATTTGTCTAGGAACTTGATACTTTGTGCACTCAAACAAATAATTATAAGCGATCTCTACTCGATCACAACTGCAATACGGACTCCGAACAAGTTTTCAGTTGTATAAATGTTCAAGTAAGTTTATTATGAACTCTATTGATCTTCAACCTAAAGTATGGATCAAGATATATGTTCACTGTAACTTGCATATAACATTGCTTACTGACTATACTGTGCCCCAAGACAATTCTGGTAACTTACAGCATCATATCCTTGCATGTGTAATAAAGTTTAATTTGCAAAGTGTGTCATTAGATGACGGTGTATATAAAGATTACCCAATCGCAACGAAAGTTCGAGGGGATATATGATTCCGCTCGTACGTGCGTACGTACGTATGTTACACTCTTTGTCATCGCTCTACCGACTTCATTTCTCAACGTAATTTCGCGAAACTTCATATGACAATACCTTGAACAAGTTCGCGTTTCCGGTTTCTATGTTCAAGGTCAATGTCACTTTATATATTAGTCTAACTTTTTCCGGGAAATTAGAAAAAAAAAACTTTGTCATTGCTCTATTGACTTCATTCCTCAATGCAATTTCATGAAACTTTATACGAGTGTTTGGTATAGCAATGCCTTGATTAAGTTCGCGTTTCTGGTTACTGTGTTAAAGGTCAAGGTCATTGTTACTAATTTTAGAAACAAAACTTTGTCATCGCTCTAGCGACTTCTTTACCTCTTACATATGTCAAAATGTGTGAATGCGAAGGGATGTGTACCACTTGTGATACCTTGTTATTTATCTTAACTTGTGCAGTTTACCAAGAAATCCGTCCTCTAGGTAGAGGGGCATTTATATAGTTCTATGAGAAATACCTGTTATTGGTTTTTATACGTGTAATGAGTAAGCAAGTAATTTTGAATAAAGAATCCGCTGCCGGCAACACCTTTGTTACAGCCGTTTAGTTATTTAAATCACCAACTCGCTGTAGGCAGCAGTTTACTTAGGAAAATCAATAACTCACACTAATTAACCTGTTGTTGGCTGTGTTCTGAATTATGAATGTGAAATTTGGGAATACCGCCCAGCTCAAGTTTTTGCAAAAACACATTGATTTTTTTTTAAAGAAAAATCTATTACATTATATATAAACGAGATTTGAACATGATTTAAACCTCAGATGAGTGTATCCTTAAGTGCACTTTATACACAAATCGTGGTTGTTCACTTGATGTATTAGACAAGCAAGATAACCGGACCATAACCTATTGTTAACAGGTGCCGGTGCCCAGTGGACCAACTTCAGCAGTCCCGCCACCACGGACGATAATTTCTCATTGGCCTTGGCTATGGGCATGCTCTTTCTGGACTCGGTCATCTGCTTTTTCATCGCCTTCTACCTTGATAACGTCAAACCTGGCGAGTTTGGTGTTCCCAAACCTTGGTACTTCTTGTGTACGGTAAGAAGGCAGGAATCCAAGATGTATGTTAAATGTGAGATGTATATGTCTATATTTTTCACATTTAAGCGCAGATATTTGATATTTGGAGGATGGAAATTCACTGAGCTTATGCCATGACGCGGCATCCATTGTCCATCCGTAAATGTTTTGTTTTAAACGACTTCTTCTTAAAAAAACCACGAAAGGCATGATATCTTATGATTGAGACCGACAAAATGTACGAATAAAGATTACATTGACCCACTTTAAAGGTCACAGAGGTCAAGTAAGTCTGAACCTTCGAACTACTTCTCCTGAAAATCCGATAGCCAGAAGTCATATTTGACCAGTACCATCCTATGATGAAGGCCGAAAAAGTTTGCAAATAAAAATGACCTTAGCCGTCTTTCAAGGTCACGGGGGTCAAAAAGGTCAAAACATTCAAACGACTTCTTCTGAAGATCTGGAAGGCCTAGATTCATGATACTTGGCCAGTTTCGTCCTATAAAGGAGCACAACAAAGTTTGCGAATGCAATTGACCTTGACCTTCTTTCAAGGTCACAGGGGTCAAATAGGTCAAAATTTCAAACAACTTCTTCTGAAGATCTGATTGTCCTAAAGTCATGATATTTGTCCAGTAGCATCCTATGATGGAACCCGATGAAGTTTGAAGAATAAGTTAAAACGATAAATAAATAACAACAAACAAAACTCTTCAACACACTTCTGAATATCCGAAACGTGTCAAACCCTGCTCCTATTCACCCACCAGGATCATGTGTTTGAGTTAAACAACATTTTCACATGAATGTGCCCTTGCCCTACGTATACTTTCAAGGTCATAGGGGTCAAATATCTGTAAACCTTTAACCGCTTCTGAATATCCAATGAACCTAACTTAACAATATTTGGCCAATAGCTCCATGTAACATAACAAACAGATGAGCGATAGGCCCTCTTATTTTCATAAATAGTTTTATGGTTATTATCTCCAATGTTCACACGAATTCAGGTAAAACATGTGAATGGAAATGTTATATGGTATATTTTAATAGCTTATATATCTTTATGCTTTTGTTATTCTAGAACAATACTTTTTTTACATGTACTGTAAAGCCCATATGGCAATACTGCAAAATAAATAGGGCGTTATACGGGTATTTAATAACACTATTATCACCTATTATTAAATTAATGCTCACGCACAGATCTTTCCCGTGCATAGTAATTTTGTGTCAATTCCTGGTTGTTCTCTTAATCGCAGTTGAGTACATTCGAATCTAATACAGTTGTTTCTGATTTTACCAGTACATTATATCGAAATCAGTTTGTTACCCTATTGGGAAAGTCTTCGAAATTGATGATGTTCATTTATAGATCACAAGTTCGTTATTTTCAGTGATAATACTGTTTAAGCCTACAGCTTATATAGGCTAACTTACATTGAACCAAGAAGGGTACATGATTTGATTAAGATGAACTAGTGCAAAACTCAAATAACACAAGTTCTTTATGTGCAAATATAGTCTTGAAATTTTGTTTTATTATGGGAAGATTCTAGGGATATCACACAAGACGTAAAAATAATGAACTTAATGAATAAGTATGCTTACAGTAGATTTAGGCATTATTTGCGTTTACTACGTTATTATCAGGTCTTATTCATGTTTGTATACATATTATAGAAAACCTACTGGTGCGGAACAGATAGAACGCAGGATATGCTTGATGTCGCTACCGGTCACGTGAGTGAGGATAAGTTTGAAGGCGATCCTGCTGACCTCAACATTGGCATTAACATCAGTCACCTTCGAAAGGTAATACCCCGTCATTGTGGAAGTGTGTGTTAACTCATTCACCCCTGAAATTTCATAATGAACTATACCAACCTTTGCATTGGAAGAGTTCAAATATGTCCTCAGGGTTGAATGAGATTACAGTTTACTAATACTACATTGTACTAATTAAAACTGTATAGTTACTATCAGCGCTAGGGAGGATAAGGAACTTTGGATAGCCAATCACATGAACTTCATTCATCATATGAGAGCAATCTTTTTTGTATTCACTCCCAAGTGGATGCATGATTCCTTTACTTTTACCCTGTTCACATCTGGATACTCCAGGCTAGGTGTTACACTCACTTTCTCTTTCTGCACCCCTGCAAAATGTCAAAGCAAAAGGCATGCGGCTAGCTATTTGATTGGTCTCGGTTAACAAAAAACCTGACCAATCGCTTTGTTGATACCCGTCATTTGAAGATTACAGAGGAGCGACACACGACTTCAAGGCCAGTCGATTTTACCGTTACATTTGTTTGACATACATTAAAGGGTCACAGTTCTCTTCTTTTCTCATCCATGAAAAGGCTCACGCTAAACCTTCGATTTTGTAATGACATGTTGCAGGGGTGCAGAGAACGTAAGTTAGCGTAAACCTGGTGTATCGAAGATGCCCTGTTACATGTTATAGGCGTATGAATGAAGGTGATGTGAATGAGTTGGAGTCCAACACATCACACATTATCATTTTACAAAATATAGTTATGTATTGTAAACGAATGAACACAAAGATTGGTTTTGTATTTGTAGGTGTTTGGGAGTGGCAAGAAAAGAAAGGCAGCAGTGGTGGATACTACACTGAACATGTACGAGGGTCAGATCACAGCCCTATTGGGACACAACGGGGCGGGCAAGACCACCACCATGTCCATGTTGACAGGTACGTGCAAATCGTGTGTACAGAAACTTAAATAGCACAATGTGGAGGAACATAAATGTCTAGCGTGTTTTATTGATTAGGTGTGTATGTTTTCGCAGTTGTAAGAGTATGGCTGTCGTAAAAATGTCCCTATAATGCAGTATGTATGGCAGTTGCCCAATAAATGCCAGCTTCTTAAAGGTCTCCCAAATTTAAAGCATATCAATTGTTCTGTTCTCCGCTCTATCTACCATATCTGTAATATTAGAACTTCAAATAAAAATGAATCCCTCTGTCCCTCCCGACATCTATGGAATCCATTTGAAGATGTGAAAAGAATGAAAATTTATATCAAAAGCTTTCCAAAGCATATGAAAGAAAGCTGGCCAAGAAACCCTTTGTTACAAAATTGATGTATTTGGACACAAAAAAATAGTTTACCTAGCCTGAATACAGTTAAGCTACAATCAAACTGTTTTTTCTGTATACACGTACTCATTTCATTCGGTCTTTTTCTTAAGCATGACCTCAGTACAGTTGTCAATGTGATAAAAGCAAAGAGGATAGGAGGTCCCTGTTTTATGTGAAATGTCTTATTGTGCTTACAGGATTTATACCTCCAACAAAAGGAACAGCCGTTATTAACGGCTGTGACATTCGAAAGAACATAGAGGGTGTCCGGAAGAGCCTTTGCCTTTGTCCGCAGCACAACATATTGTTTGATAATCTGACTACAGCGGAACATCTGTGGTTCTTTGCTAAGGTAAACAATATCCTTTTCAATACTTTGTGAATGGTCTTTCCAAAAGGCAGACGTTATGTGCATTTGTCAGTTTAATGCCAGGATTATAGTACCTACATGTATAGCCATTGCTGTGTACTTGTCTGTGTTCCCAAAATTGAACTATATGTACCTGTCCAATAAATGACTGTACCTTTCTGTTCTAAATATGCAATTATTGACATTAATTAAATGCGTATTCTATTGCAGTTAAAAGGCTGTCCGGGAAATCTTCTGAAGCAGGAGATATCTGGAATGTTGAAAATGTTAGGGATAGAGAAAAAGGCGAATGTTCTGTCATCGCGATTGTCCGGTGGTCAGAAAAGGAAACTGTCATTGGGAATAGCACTGATAGCTGATTCTAAGGTAAGGCCACAGAAACCAGCATTGTATATAGTTTCTGTTAGCAACTGAAACATTTGTCTGTTAACAACTGAAAATTAGGATATTGTTCTAAATTTCACTCGGGTCTATGTATAAACAAGAAATTGTTTAACTTTCTGCACACATTCACGTAAAAGGTCGTCATACTGGACGAACCCACCTCAGGAATGGACCCGGCCGCGCGAAGAGAGACGTGGGAAATCCTAAGGAAATACAGGGAAGGCCGGACTATTCTACTTTCAACTCACTTCATGGACGAGGCTGACATTCTAGGCGACCGAATCGCAATCATGGCCGAAGGAGTCATCAAGTGTTGTGGTACCTCACTGTTCCTTAAGAAAACCTATGGTAAGTCTGAGGGTATATTTTCAGGAGTATGTATACACCATTTATGTCAGCAACACAGAATCAGTAACATCAAATGATATAACAATTAATTATTGCTATGATTGAGATATAGCAATAGCAATGTTTTTTATTCGGGATATTTCATTCCATGTGTTTCTCTGGTGTTTTCATTTTTGTATCATACCCAGATGCTTTCTGCATGTCAATGAAGATGCAAGGTCAAAACCTGTAATGTCAAGATAAACATGATATGATGTTGACATTGTTACCTTTCAATATCCTGAATCATGTTTTCGTTTAAACGGTTGAACCAGTTGGACCACAGTTGTTCGTTTATGAAATAAGGTTGGACCTAGTAATCTGATGCTGCTTTCAGGCGAGCATTGACAAGCCTTGCAAGGCCTGCATAAACATTTGCAGGTCCGCCAGGATTTATATCCGAAAAAGTTACATTTAAAGACGGTCGGACCGGTTTTTCGGCATAAACGAACAGGCCTCAGGTGATTATATTAAATTGTATTCCAGTGTATTGAGGAAATCCCTTTGTTAGTTGGAGATCCCTCAATGAAAGTGATTTTTAAATGATCCTCTTTTGATGCGTTCTTATAGGTTCTGGGTACCACTTGGTAGTGGTAAAGTCAAACACCTGCGACGTGAATGGACTGACTAGCCTAGTAATCAGCCACATTCCACGTGCCCTAGTGGAAAGCGACATCAGTGCGGAGTTGTCCTACGTTCTACCGTTTGAGGAGTCGCCAAAGTTTGAAAAGCTTTTTGAAGACATCGAAAAGAACGCTTCCTCTCTTGGCATCAGTAGTTTTGGAACAACTGCTACCACAATGGAGGAAGTCTTTCTTAAGTGAGTTAAGTTACATTTGTCTCCTTAAAACAGTGAACTAAACATTCTTATGTTGTGATACGTGGCATATCAATAAAGAGGTTACACTTTCAATTGGTTAGTGACATCATTCGTATCAAGTTAGTAAAGCGATGTCTTTCTATCAATTTTTCAATAAGGTGACATCATCATCGTGACGTAATGAATTGACATCTTAATTATCAACAGACTTTTCTCAAATAAGACACAGTATTAACATTGAGATTGATAATGAGCATAGACAATACTATTACCTTGGACTTGGAGACGATATCGTATTTTGTAGTGGTATTATTTTAGATCATTCATGATATCAGTAAAAATAATATTCTTGGAGAATTTAGTTTTTGCGGTATGATAATAAAGTTTGCATTCCTAGTGCTGATATTTATTGTACATTTGACAATAATAGATTTGAAAGGCACCACCAATATAGTTTGAAATTCTTTTTTCACGTAAATATTATTTTTGTCCGGTTTTTTTTGGAGAAAACTTCCATTTATGCGAATCAGTCGCTATATTGTTTACTTTGGGAATTATATGAATAATTATACTATGGAAAATGGCATTTTCAGGGTGGGTGAAGATGGCAGATCAGAGGACGAGGATGAGAGCGAAACAGGAGAGAAAGGTCACACGAGCCACAGCTATGTGGGAGACAGACAAGCTATGGTGATGCAGTCCACCAACAGTAGAGGTCTGTCCACAAGTATGTCGGTGTTCTCTCGTCATCGCATAAATGGATCTATTAAAACAAAGCTCCTCTTGTGTATTGAATAAAGGGGATATGTGATATATAAAACTATACATCGAGGTTCCCAAATTTACACCTTTAGCTGTTTATTTAGGAATTGTCCATTTCGGCTCAATTTGTGCATATTGGATCTTAACATACGGATAGTAACACCAGGGGGTCGGAGACCCAACGTCCCTGCAAGGAAGTCAGTTCCATAGTGGCGGTAGGGATCCTGGTACGTAGGATGTAAATCAAACATAAGACTTTTTTTACGGGATTCAGTGGTGCTGTTGCTCGTCATTTCTATTTTCATTAACACACGGATGATAGGAATGAATTTTCTTTGCAATTTGATTTTCATTTTTTTTAATAAATGTAGGTCGGTTAGCTTGTGAGTATATTTTATGTCTACTGAGCGTGTCGCGAACTTGATAAATCAATTGAAAAATGATTATGGTTGGGGAGCAACATCACCTTATATACAATTTACATTGTTTCTTCTGAGATCATAGAATTATGCTTTTGGTATAATATAATATTCTTAAATATGTTTTCTTTTCTCAGATATTTACGAGACGTTTAACAAGAATACCGGTTTAAAGAGAACTTTCCAACAGTTTTACGGAATGTTCGTGAAGAAAGCCATCAATACCTGGAGAAACAAGGTCGTGACCCTAGTACAACTGATACTGCCTGTCGTATTCACCGTATTGGCGTTCCTTTCCATACAGAATAGTCCGGGCCAGGACACCACCGCTGCAGAACCGGCTTTGATACTTGACTTGGCGCCTTTCAAATCAGATTCCATTGTTATGTATAAATCTGGCGATAATCTGGATCCAGAAATGGTTCAGATCAAAAACCATTTTACGAACTTGTTTTCCTCATACTCCACTGAGGATGCTAAAGATTTCGACACCTTGGAAAAGGCGTTTTTATCGAAGGCGAATAGCATTGGCATTGCCACCTTCAATCAGCGGTACATTGTGGCAGGCGACTTCTCGAATGGTAGTGCACCACTGACGGCCTATTTCAATGGGCAACCTTACCATTCCTCGGCGGTGGCGCTGTCTTACATGATGAACGCCCTATTAAGGGGGATAACCAACTCCAGCAGTGATTATATCACAACAATAAACCACCCTCTTCCGCCCACTATCTCCGATCAGAGCGACAGGGCTAACCGCACGGCTTCCACCGGGGGATTTACTGTGGCCCTGCTCGTCTTGTTTGGGATGGCTTTCCTGTCCACAAGCTTTATTCTGTTCCCCATCAAGGAACGATCCACTGGTGCCAAGCACCTGCAGACTGTAAGTGGCGTAAGTCCCTTTGCCTACTGGCTGTCCAACTACTGCTGGGACTTGCTGAACTACTTGTTTGTAGTTTGTTGTATAGTGGTGGTGTTTGCGGCGTTCCAGTCGCCAGCTTACGTAGAGGGCGGTCGAATTGGCCTGATCATTCTGGTGTTTTGTATCTACGGGATGTGTTGCTTGCCGTTCGTTTATTTGCTGCACTTCCCGTTCTCCACACCGTCGACTGGTATGGCGACCATCACCATCCTCAATATTATCTCGGGTGAGTACATTTGCTGGTTTTTGATGCAGAATGCATGTTACACGTACAAGTAATCCTTCTAAAATAATTGTTTGTTGTGAACATGGCTATTATTGCTGTGGTCAAGTACCGTCAAACTTGCTCGAGACACGTTACGTCACTTTCAAGTTAACACTTCCCGTTGCAGTCAATGATATCCTGAATTCAATAACTTTCTCTCTTCAATAAAACTTCCATTTTCTTCGATTCCCCAAGGTTATGTATGAGTACAGGTTGGATGCTATAATTATAAAAACAAATAAGACATCGCTATCTTCTATGTGTTTTTAATACAGGTATGATTGCACTGTTGGCGGTGTTTATCCTTGAGCTACCTGGCCTTGGGACCGAGGACGTGGGCAAAGCCCTGAAGTGGGTGTTTACTGCTCTTGTGCCACATTTCTGTCTGGGGAGGGCTTTGAACGACATTTACGTTAACTACCAAGTCACTCAGACCTGTGAAGAGCTCCAGTATCGAACAGCATGCATGTTAAACAATCTAGGGCCTTGTTGTTCAGGTAATAATTATCTATCCACATATTTAAAATTGATACAAAAAAATGTTTGTATCTGGGACGGTTTTAATGAATTTTCATTATTCCCTAAATTTTCCCTTTGGTGTGTTAACACTATGAAATATATTTTCATGTACTTGTAGGTTGCACAGCAAATTGTCTTCTGTTCGATGAGAGCTACATGACATGGGAATCTCCTGGAATACTCAAGTATATCGTCTTCATGGTCATCCAGGCCGTTGTTTTCTTCGTTTTCGTCTTGGTCATAGAGTATGGCGTACTTGGACAGCTCATCTACTGCATCTGCAGTAATGGCGGAGCATCTCATTCTGACGAGGAACACCTAACGGGCGTGGAAGAGGATAGCGACGTTAAAATGGAGAGGGAAAGAATCTGGAACTCGCCCCTCACCAAACTGATGGAGAGCGACGCGCTCATCGTCAAAGGTCTGTCAAAGTCGTACCGTCGGGTGAAGGCCGTTAATGGGATCAGTGTGGGTATTGCCAGTCAGGAATGTTTTGGGCTGCTAGGACAGAACGGCGCTGGAAAGACCACTACGTTTAAGATGATAACTGGTGATGTGTTCGTTGATGACGGGAACGCCTACCTGAACAGTTTTGATGTGAAGCGCCACTTGAAAAAGGTACAAATGCATTGCCTTACGTTTTCATTAGAAAATAGCTCAAATTCTATCTTCAATTGCACACAGATGCTTCCGGTTTAATGTCACAACACATAGATTCCGGTATAAGCAGTCATGGTTAAGTTTTGTACAGACATTTCCAATAAGTACAGATAAACAAGTTACGATGAATGAAATGTTCCTTAATTTATATAATGACTGATTCAGTGATGCTTACATGAAGTTTGCTTAGGAACGCTTGTAGGCTCGAAGGTCAATGTCTCAATATCACTACACAGATGCCTAAGTATCATTATACCATGTCATCGTTGACTGAATACTTTAAGTGGGAGAAGTATTGCTCCGCAGTACATTGTAACAACATGTTTGTGCAGGAGACTATTGATAGCATACAGATGAATGGGACTAACTTATGTTTTAACATATTTATGGAGCTAACTGAATAAAAGATTTCCTTTGAAACTTTCCTAATCGTTTGATGACTGTTGAAGCAGAATTAATCAAACTTTTATTTTTAAAAAGTATTTCTATAAAATGCATTCTGCTTCCGTTTTAATGTTATATTTCAAGAAAAAGACATTGCATTTATATATGGTATTCATTTTGCATTACTAAGTTAACTGACGTCTCTGTTTTATTTCATAGGTCCAGCAGAATCTTGGCTACTGTCCGCAATTTGACGCCCTGATTGACCAGATGACCGGCCGAGAGACGCTGACCATGTACGCCAGGCTTCGCGGGGTTCCAGAGAACCGTATAAGAGACGTAGTGAGCGATATGATGAATTCAACGATGCTGACAAAATACGCTGATAAAAACTGTGACCAGTACAGGTAAATTAAAGAAATGTGTATATGTGCAGTTCATCACATGCACAAAATGTGCGGAAAACTTTACCATGCCTCCTGTGTACCTCATCAGAGGGAAGAGGAAAGTGGAAAGGAGGTTAGAGTGGGAAGAAGAAGAGTGAGAGAAAAGATGTTAGAGTGGTACAGAGAGAGAGAGAGAGAGAGAGAGAGAGAGAGAGAGAGAGAGAGAGAGAGAGAGAGAGAGAGAGAGAGAGAGAGGGGGGGGGGGGGGGGGTAGGCGGGGAAATAGAAGGGAGAAATGGGTGAGAAATAGTTTGATAGAATGGGTGAGAAATAGTTTGAAAGAATGATACAGGAAAATAGAGTAGAGAAAGGGGAGAACAATGGTTTGTTATATGGTACAGGGAAGAAGGGTAGATTGCCAGAAGGTAGGCTGGGAAAAGGGGAGGGAGAAAGAGGAGAACATAGTTTGATACAAATGTAGAAGGGTACAAGAAAGAGGAATAATGGAGGGGAGGTGAGGAGGGAGAGAAAAAGGAACAGCGGGGAGAGAAAGAACGATACCAAAGGTACCGCGAGGAGAGGTAGAGGGTAGGAGTGGGAAGGAATAGGCAAAGGTACAGGGGAGAGGGGTAGAGTTTAATAATAGGATGAAAGAAGGAGAGGAAGGGAATGAAGAGGAAGAGTAAAAATGGTAGAGAAGATTGGAGAAAGGATGAAGAGTAGGAAGGGAAGTTCAGAGTAGAGTGGGAAAGGTGTAGAGTTGGGAGGCGTATAGGGATAATAGAAGGCAGGAAAGAGATGTAAGGAGTAGGAGGAGGTGAAATGAGGAAGGTAGAATACATTATGTTGAAGGGGAGAGAGGGAGGGACTTTAGAACTGGAATGAACAAACAAGCAACAGAAAACGGAGAAGAAGAATAGAGCTCAAGGGAGGCAATCCAGTCGTACTTGTATTTGGGAAAATATCTACCATGGAAAAAGGCGATTCTGTTACCATTCCAATTTTATTGTATTTGATACCACAACACAAATTTACACCAATAGAGGGTATTTTACACTGATCATTGTCTTTTTTCTAGTGGTGGTAATAAAAGGAAGTTAAGCACGGCCATCGCTCTGATCGGAGACCCGCCGTTTATATTACTTGACGAGCCGACAACAGGAATGGATCCTGGTGCTCGGCGGAAACTTTGGAACGTGCTTTCTGAAGTCAGAGCCAGAGGAAGGACTTTGGTGCTGACGTCACACAGGTAGGGAGGAAATTCATGAAATACTGCTACACTGATTTCGTAATAGACAACTATGGTTGTATAATAACTAACATGTGAAATATCTACCCTGTGCTATGCTAGAAAAACAGGTTTCTTGAGAATTCGGAGAGATTTTCCGCATAGAGTGAAAGTTATGTTTACATGAATAATTTATGTACAAAGTACACTGCCCCATACCCGAGTAACGTGTTTATTATCTCAAAATATCCTACAAAGTGCAATAATTATGTATTTATCTTATTTCAGTATGGAGGAATGCGACGCACTTTGTACCAAGATTGTTATCATGGTCAACGGGAAGTTTGTCTGTCTAGGTAGTCCACAACATCTAAAGAATAAGTTTGGACAGGGCTACACGCTCACTGTCAGACTTGGAACGGCAACAAATGGCAAATCAGTTTCACGGGATGACGTCAAAAATTACGTGATACAACATTTCCCTAACACGGAAGTGTTTGATGACTTGTACCAGGGCTATCTAACTTTCCAGATCCCGGACTCGAATGTTCCTTTGGCTAAGGTATTCGGTACGATGGAAAGGGTGAAAAATGATTTCGGAATCGGGGACTACTCGGTCCAATCAACAGCTCTAGAACAAGTCTTCCTGGCCTTCACCAGGAACCAGACATCAGCAGACGACAAGAAAAAACGAAAATGTTGCTGTTTTTCTTGTTGAGTTAATAGTTGAACCACAAACTTTTTTTTCGCAAATTCATGATGTATGCTATATATATATAGAGTTAGTTCAACATAAGTTCACTGTTACATCAGCAACAAACGACATGGGGATTGTTTTGCACTAGCTGTGTTATTTGAGTTCATGAATGAACTGGAACAAATGAAAAGGCATTAAACACAGTTGACATACATTTGTACCTGATCAAAACTGAGGTTCAGGCGGTGCTGATAGATCTAGGTAAACAAAATCCAGTGCACAGATACAGTGACTTAGATGTAATTACTGGCATAGTTATATCTACTAATGTCACCGTGCAATGAAGTTGTGATGCTGTATACTACGTACCAGTGTTGAAAACTGGAGTTTTGATGCAGTAATGTTGTACACTGAAATAGTAATGTACATTGAAGCATAGATGATGTAATAGTGCTGTACACTGACGTATTGCTGCTGCATCGTTATTATCATTTCTGTATCGGCAACAGGAATGTTAAACTTATTGTCATTTAATTTAATGCATTAACACGTTATATGAGATGTCACTTGTAGATCAGGATATCGATGACGTCATTATGTTGGGACTAGCCTATTGGCTGCCATAAGCCTGTGATATTGTGTTATATATCAGATCATTTCAAAGAGTCAGGGTTACGTTTTGTGTTCTAATCGCGATATGTTCGATGAATTTTTGTATGGTACAGTGTGATACAAGATAACAAAAACGATATTATTAAGACGAACTTTAACTAAAGAGCAGACAAAGGGGCGTTACTCTTTATAAAAAAAACACAGGTTTTGAAGATTTTAATGGTTTTTCATCACGAGAGAGATTGATGATTGAATCTGTTTGTCAGTATCACATTAGAGTCGACCTCAAGATAACGTTTATGGAGTAATCAAAACAAGTTGTTGTTGTCAATTCACCGTCGTGATGTTTGTAATGTTATGTGACTAACTATGCTTAATCGATTTATATTTGTGAATCTCACTGCGCTGTTGATAAATCACCATTCCCCCGGTGCGTAGGTAGTGTTAATAACCGGTACCATCCCCCTCCCCCGGTTTGTAGGTAGTGTTAATAACCGGTATCATTCCTCCCGGTTCGTAGGTAGTGTTAATTATCGGTACCATTCCTCCCGGTTCGTAGGTAGTGTTAATAACCGGTACCATTCCTCCCGGTTCTTAGGTAGTGTTAATAACCGGTACCATTCCTCCCGGTTCTTAGGTAGTGTTAATAACCAGTGCCATTCCTCCCGGTTCGTAGGTAGTGTTAATTACCGGTACCATTCCTCCCGGTTCGAAGGTAGTGTTAATTACCGGTACCATTCCTCCCGGTTCGTAGGTAGTGTTAATTATCAGTACCATTCCTCCCGGTTTGTAGGTAGTGTTAATTATCAGTACCATTTCTCCCGGTTTGTAGGTAGTGTTAATTACCGGTACCATTCCTCCCGGTTCGTAGGTAGTGTTAATTATCGGTACCATTCCTCCCGGTTCGTAGGTAGTGTTAATTATCGGTACCATTCCTCCCGGTTTGTAGGTAGTGTTAATTACCGGTACCATTCCTCCCGGTTCGTAGGTAGTGTTAATTATCAGTACCATTCCTCCCGGTTTGTAGGTAGTGTTAATTATCAGTACCATTTCTCCCGGTTTGTAGGTAGTGTTAATTACCGGTACCATTCCTCCCGGTTCGTAGGTAGTGTTAATTACCGGTAGTGTGACTGGACTATTTTCTTTCAATGTTTATGTTTTATTTTACATTGTACATGTAATGTTTCATTTTCCTTAGTAAAAACACAGTATTATAAAACTGAAATCTACACCGATCATGCTATATATATAGAATCTAAGAGATATTATATTTTTTTATGTTTAAACTTTACGTACTATTTTGTCAGTGCTTGCCTTCACATAAAAGAGTTATCTCACAAACAAGATGAAATTATGTGAAACTTTTACTATATAGTTTTACATTCCTTTGAACATGTGACGTCCTTATCATTATGTAATTAGGTTTCATTAGCCTCCATGTTGACAGTCCTTTTCAGCATTTTACGTAGAAATTTGCATATCGGAAACACATTAGTATTTCTATCCATATAGCAAGATGGAATCGTTTCCAGAATCGATGTAGAATGTTTTTCCATTTAGGACTTTAAAACTTCGTAAGTTGATTTCCCTTACCGTGAAGGAAGGTCTGAGTAATTGTGGTGTCAAAAGATATAGTTACGGATGCACTGGAACAATAATTAACTGTTGTTTTATAAATTCTAAATGGATTATAGGAATTTGGAAATACAGAGCATGACTACAAGACAGTTATGCTCATTCTGCAAATATAAACTTTATTTTTTTTTACAACAATTATGAAACAAGTTATTTCAACTTATATTTATATTAATCACTCTTGTTGGCCTCGGATGTTATCAAGCGGGGGTCTTTATGTGGGTTGATTTGCACCAGTTTGTTTCATTTCTATTAACTGTGAATTTTACGAGAAAAACTTGACAACCGGATTTATTGATTCATTTTGTAAAACTATAATTTGATACATGTTCTAAATATAAACCTGCTTATTACAGCTTAGAGAAGTTTCGTAATTTCATTGGCGGCGAGAAAATTGGACATAAAAAAAAAGAGTTGTGTATAACATTGAACTAGAATTAATGCGCACATTTCCTCACTGGCGACATTTTGGATTGTAACTTAGACAAGATCGCAATTGTCCTGTTTGTCAATATACAAATTGCGGTTGCTAGTTGATTTTTTCCCCCTAGATATAATAACTACAATGTACATGCACTACATTAATTAAAAGGTAACAATGCGTACTGCCGACATTTGACTACCGAACCGTTATAATCTTCGGCTTCTCTCTGGCTACCATGGTTTCCTTGGACCGCAATCGCTGCCTCTGGTTGACAATATTTTAAGTAAACTTCTTGCACGTATATCGTATGTATATACATTATAATACGACCATACACACGGATTTGCACGCAAGCAGTAACACGCATTCTATAGGGCAAATTATAAAAAAAATGACAGCTTCTTCGTTGCTGTTCTTAGTCAATATGAATGCCAACTTCACCCATACACCGTATGAAGATCGCTTACTGGATTGCATTAGTATTCATATTAGTTTCGTATGCAAACTAGAAGCAGTGATTGTACTTAACCATTGTAATATCATATTGAGATCATAGATTTTATTTATTTATGACATGGAAGCATATTGTACATATTAATGAAATTATTTACATTAATAAAAACAGATGACGGCAAGTAGACACTTGTAGATATTTTACCTTATCATGGCGTTTCCGTGATCGTTCTTATCGGGTACCTTTCGAAGTATTCTGCTAAACGAGTGATTTATAAATGGTTCTGAGCCGGAAATCCTTAGATTCATTTAGGCTCTACGTTATATATGTATATCCTTTACTTCTTATTCTGTCAAAGTGAAATAAATATCTAATGTAGGAAGGTAATCTACTTCCATGTTCTTAGATACGGATCTCCGTAGATAGTAAATACATTCCATTATAAGTTAATTTCACATTGTTCACATTTATACATGATCATTAATCATTATTACATATTTCGTATTGTAAGTGCTTTAGTATGGGAGATTGCAATATTAATTTCTTGCTGAAGGAACTGATGTGTCTTTTATCCATTGGGAGGCCTTTAAACTCCCCCGTCAAATAGAACTCTTGTTTCCCTCCTGTTGTTTTCCTCCCTCCTCTCCATACAAAGCAGTCTTACTCTTAAACGATCTGATTTATAATAAACTGAATTTATTTCTTCTTGCTTTTCAAACCACGCAAATGATAGCCATCCATACCTAACATGATGGCCTGACTCCGATCCAGGACCTTGCCTCATTGATTACATTAAAGTGACTTTAAGTGAATAGAAAACACCTTCACTTATAGGTCTTTTTGATATTTTGTAAATCAAATATTTATCACATATTTACGAACATGATGTAGGTTTAGATATCTCATTTTAATCTACAAGTTATAATCCGCATTTTCCTTCGTGACCTGTTGGTTTGTCATCTGTATATTATAGTACACTGTGATCTGTGATTTAAAGTTTATCATTGACTGTGATTTACAGGAGAGCGTTACATTGTCCGAGTACTATTTATTTGTGGATGGAAAATAAAGTTTAAATTTATACATTTGTTGTCATTTGTAAATATGATCTCGCCAATTATCTAATCAATGAAAGGGGTTATTCACCCTTTCACCCCTAGGTAACTTTAGTAAACTCTATCATACATTGATCTGGGGTAAGTTTGCCATATTGCTTTCAGCGACTTCTTTTCTGGATCAATGTGATTGATATTAATATAGCCATATTTGATTTGGAGCTTTCCTCGGTGGTTGAAGATTCAATATTGTACCAGTTGAAGAGCTGATCCCCGGGTCTGAGGGTCGGGGCAAAAAAAGAAGAGACTTTTTAATATAAAACAGACTCGTTAACATTGATCCTGGGGTCATCAAAAGATAACCCAATCATGATATCAGAATTGAATTCAGGGTCCTGAGCTTCAGCCCTAGGTACATTATTTCTGGTTCATAACTTTGAAATGTTTGAGATCCCTAACCCATAGCCATAAATACGTTTGATAGGATTAACGAAGTAAATGCAGCCATGGGATTATAATTGACTCTTTGGTCTCGCCCCATCCCTAGGGACCTAATTCTTCGGTCATACTTTTGAAACGATTGAAATCCCCACACCATAACCATATATACCATTATTGGGCATCAAGAGAGGAACACAATCATGATATTAGTATTGACTTTTTTATCCGGCCCAACCCCTAGGTACATTTTTCCTGGTTCATAACTTATAAACGGTTAGGATCCCTAATCCATACCATTATATATATCGATAATGGGCATAAAGATCCAGGTGAGAGATACAGCCGCTCAGAGCCTCTTGTATACAATATCCTTCTCCCTATATACGGTATTCCTCTCCCTATGGATATTATGATCCCCTCTATATGTATAACATCCCCTCCATGTAACCAGTAATCCCTCCCTATGTACAGTATCCCTCTCCCTATGTACAGTATCCCCTCCCTATGTACAGTGTCCCTCTCCCTATGTACAGTATCCCCTCCCTATGTACAGTATCCCCTCCCTATGTACAGTATCCC